CTCTTCCAACTCATCCAAGCCACTGGCAACAACACGTCTTGTGTGAGCGAAACAATCTGTGAGGATGACGGGATGCCAATCACTAACATCCATCGACGTCTTGAACGATGGGCAGAATTTTTCGAAGGGCAGTTCAACTGGCCTGCTGCTCCGGCAACATCGGTCAGACTGTCTTGCTCTTCATGGCCGGTGACGACTGATCCACCAAACGAGAAGGAAGTCCGCAAGGAACTCCAACTCTTGAAGTGCTACAAATCACCTGACCCAAGTGACTTACCTCCGGCTCTTTTTAAAGATGATGGTGACTTTCTGACTAACGAACTGACGACGTTGTTTACAAAGTTTTGGGAGCTAGAGAGTGTGCCAACGTCATGGAATGAGTCAATAGTTGTCCCTATCTTTAAAAAGGGTTCACGTCGTTCCTGTAACAACTATCGGAGGATAAGTCTACTTCCGATTGCGTCCAAACTATTGGCTTCCGTCATACTTCGTAGGTTATTCAAAACCCGAGAAAGATTGACTCGCAAGGAGCAGGCTGGCTTTCGTTCCGGTCGAGGATGTATTGATCATATCTTCAACCTCCTCCAAGTGTTAGAACACCGCCACACTTATCAAAAGCCAACAATCGTAGTGTTTCCTGACATCAGGACTGCCTTCGATTCGTTGGATAGGACTGTTCTCTGGGATTTTCTATTGAAGGCTGTGCCTGAGAGGTTTATTAACATCTAAAAGCCCTATATACAAACACCTCAGGCACAGCCCGACCACCACGTCAAGGTAGTAACAACAGTCGAGCAATCCGCACTTAATCAGTTGGCAATCAATGTCCGTATGTACGGTATGTGCTTTGCATCTTCGAAGTACAAAGTACTTTTACAAGACTGGCAGGATTCTGATCATGTACTCACTTTGGGTGGTGAGCAGGTAGAAGTAGTCGGGAATTTGTGTACCTGGGTAGATGCATAAGTGCTGGTGGTGGCGTGAGTGATGAGATCAATGCACGTATAGTGAAAGCCGGAGCGGCTTATGCCAATCTGGGCCACCTTTGGCGCCTTCGTGATGTTAGTCTGACTGTAAAAGGTCGAATCTACAACGCGTCGGTGAGTGCAGTTTTACTCTATGCTTGTGAAACCTGCCCTCTCCGAGTTGAGGACGTTAGACGACTCTGTGTTCGATCATCGCTGTCTCCGAAGGATTGCTGACATTCAGCGGTAACACCATGTCAGTAATGAAGAGGTTCGGCATCGTGTGTTCGGGCGCAGAGACGATAGTTCAATTGGTGTCACCATCTCGAAACATCGACTTCGGTGGCTTGGACATGTCCTACGAATGTCGTCCCAGAGAATTCCACGTCGTGCATTATTTGCCGACTCTGGGACTGGTTGGAAGAAGCGGAGAGGTGGTCAGTGTATGACATGGTGTCGTGGTATGAAAGGAAGCTGCAAAGGACTGTCTTCTGTCGGTCCTTCACGACTCCCTGGTTGGGGTCTGAGAGATGGTGCAACACAGTGGCTAGAGACGTTATCAGATATGGCTCAGAATAGAAGCCAGTGGCGATCCTACTGTGATCTTCTTTTACTTTCTTCATAAAAAGTGGTTGTATCTCCCTTAACTGAAAGAATTCTTCTGGTTGTACCTTTCTGTTTCTCGCATTATTATCATTACACTACCATACACTAAGCTGTGGTCGTTATTGTTCTTTTTTTATTTCTTATACGCACCTTACCTTCTTTCTTACTCCCCATTCTCATTGCTTTGTGTGGCACATGTATATTTGGTGCCCCCGTGTAGCAATATTTGTGTTCAAATAAATAAATTGTCTGAATAATTAATAATACTAATAAACCACAGAAAATAATGCGGCCATGTGAACTTTCAATCATAGGTAAACAATTGTCAGACGTTTTTCAAGTACATTAGTGGCAAACAAAAGTGATTATTCTAATTTGGAATTCCCTAGTTAGAGAACAGAGGAATGAAAGATCGTCCGAATATTAGGATCAGCGGTAACTTGTATGGATAGAGACTGTCAAAAGCTAACTTTTTGACCTCTTTAGTATTCGTCTCGTGCTAATGAGATGTGGCTAACCCACACTAGTGCCAGACTACATTGCTTACGATTGAGTTGCTACTATTTCAATAATCATATTTTGGACATGAATCTTTCTATCCCTTATTATATCAGTAAAAATCAGAACTGTAGAATACGAAACAAGAATGATTAGAAAATGACGAGGGTCACTTGGGGAAAGACGTGACAACAAGCAGAGAACACTTGATTTACCTAGGTAAAATCCAATCAGGAAATATAGGTAATATTTTCTATCAAAATGCGATATGCATTTCAGCAACAATTGACCTATATATTGTCTATTGCACCTGCCACTAGAAGTGAGCTTTTTTTGTGCTCCATTGGGAAACTTGACTCTGAATTCACATTTCAGTCTCTGCCTAAACTTACGTCGAATAGCCTAATTTGCTCTCAAATTTTGTTTTGTGTGGCACATGTATATTTGGTGCACTCGTGTAGCAATATTTGTGTTCAAATAAATTTATAAATAAATATCAACTAATCAGTTTTCATTGACTTTCAAAATCACAGTAAATTTATTAAAATAAATGAAAGTTTATTGAAGTTCAGTTTATTCAATGCATATTGATTGAAATTATGCAGTTGAAAAGAATCAGGATGTCATTAAACAGTTTTATTTTCGAACAAATTAACGCAACGAAATGCATTAAAAGTTGACTGACCAAAAATCACCTTAAATATGTGCAAATTTTAAGGTGGATTTTCTTTTTTGTATGTTATATTTGGGAGTGTCATAACCCTAATATCCCTCATTTTCAAAATGGAACAGTCCGAGGTTAGTTTTTGGTCTTTCTTTTCGGATTAATGACTGGATATTTAGTTCACAGGTGTTCTTTCCCCCAGAGAATAAAACACCGATCGAGTGAATCTAAGCCATTTGTTCTTAACTGAATCTTAACGGTTAACAGATAGCTTAGAGGCAACTTGATAATATGACCGTTAAAATGGGCTTTCTTGTTTATGTGGGTACTGCGGTGATGTTTGCTGATGTGCCTGTTGATTTCATTTAGTTTGTTGTTTAGATTTCTCCGTTTTCTGGATTTTTTTTAGCATATTGTGACTGTGGCGTCTATTTTAATAGCTTATTATTTACATTTACTGCTTCGGTGGTTTTTGAATGAGCATAATTTGGCAAAATGTCATGCACTTCAACGCCAACGTATAGATTTCAGAGTTTTCTTTTTGATAACTTATTGCTTGAGTGCAATGCGGTAAATCGTAAAGGCTTGGGACCAGGATCAGATTCATTGTTATGTGCATGAACTTCGAGATCACACTTTGTTGCAGACTGGACTAAAATGGTATAAATCCCGATATTCGTTAGCCGTTAATCTTTGGCAACAACATCAATACAGCTTAACATTGGTTCTTATTCGATGTAATGCGGCAAATCAGAGCTAGTGGTTGAAGATGTATTAACCTCAAGAAAATTGCCGTAGAAAATCTAGATAAATATGAACCGTTGATCCAGTTAACACTTATATCTATCTTCAGTGTTTTCCACAATCATCCATAGTAGTCATTATTGTGAATTAAAATTGTGTTCGTTATTTTCTAATCATGAGCAATTGGCTGAATATTTCAATACAAAGTGGTAGTTTCTTCTTTATGCGTTGTATTTGAGGATGTCACATCAACAACAGCTCTGTAGAGTAATTAAACTCGACTCAACCAAGTGGGATATCGATAGAACATCAACTCCACTATGATGCTTAGTGTGTTCAGTATTTCCATCTCTTGCAAATTTGATTCGTCTTGATTACTTACCACACGTAGATTTGGTGGCTCAGCGATCAAGACCCTCTCAACCGCTAAGTTACGAGCCTGATCTCTATCTCACCTACTTCAACTTTGGGGATTGAGTAGTATCGAAGCTCTTGCACTTAATGCGTGGCTCGTAGCCTAAGGTATAGATCTATACTTGGTAAATGACCCTTAAAAAATATAAAACACTTCTGACCACTCCCACATCGTCACTTACGTAACAAGGACAACGTAGAAATTAATTAACCGATTTTATCCAGAGAATGTTACTTCACCAATGTCCTTGCTCCAGGTTGTCGAAGACTCCTTCATATCTGTTATAATTCTCTCTTACGGTTATAACCCAGCTATTCCTATTGCTTAGTATTCTCGGACACCGATTCACTCGACAAGTCCCCAAATGAGAACACGGTTGAACAACAAAGAGATTATATTCCAATAACAAGGTTAGATGGAAGTAAGAAGCACAATAGGGAAAACGTTAGTATATTTATAGTTTTTCACATGAGATTTCTAGTGTTGGCGAGACTCTAATTTAAGGACGACCTTTGAACGAATCTTAAGTGACCTTGACAATTATTAGCCAATCAGAAGACAGTTAGTATAAAGTGAGAATATATTGTAAGTAAGTAATGAATTACAGTGGATATTCTTCTTTTACATGATTTAAAAACTTGTTAAGGTTTGATAACGGTTCAGAGGCTCTGAATTCATAATGCATATTGTATAGAAACTCGTCCATAGGGTTAGTGGTTAGGGTTGCAGCCTGTAAGTAGACACATCTTCTCTAAAATCCGATGTAAACCGATCGCATGTTAGCACCCTAACCCTAAACCCTAACCTTAACCTAACCCTAAATCCTAATCTAACCCTAACCAAACCTAACCCTAAACCCTAATCTAACCCAAAAACCCTAACCTTAGCCCTAAACCCTAATCTAACCCTAACCTTGAGCTTGCTTTAATCCAGTCTATGTCCCGCTAACAATATTCTTTTCGGATTCCTCGTTTATATTGATGCTTATGTGTAAAAATAAAGCTTTCTCATAATCGATGTTTAAAATCACGAATGGTTAACTGGTTGATTTTATTTCGAAATATTTTCTATGACTTTCGCGGTTATCATTCTAGCGTTTCCTTTGTAGATGAAGAAGCGATTAAATCGATCTGTCGGTTGTTTTGGATTTAGATCTATTCATCTTTTTTCAAACACAGCGATTACCAGTAAGAAGCTGCAATCCAAAAATCCCCCTATTCAGAACTCTGATCCAGACCCCAAAACGTATAACAAAGGACAAAATTTACCAGCATCTAGTGATTATGACCTAATGTTAAGTAGTCTAGTAAAAGAAAATGGTACGTATAATTAGTTTTGGAAAAATACGTAAAACCATATATAAGGTCGATTTTACTTAAATTCAGCATGTAATGATGATGCTAGTTGAATTATTTGCGATGAGTAAGAACGGTTATTTTATCCATTGTACAGCTACCTCCTAGTTTAGAATTTCATTCATTTCTGGATATTAAGGTTAGTTAAAACGATAAAATCTTATAAACATTAGACATTTAGTGCGTGTTAACCTTATCTGAAATTTCGTTGAAGCTAAGGATAAAATACAAAGGGAAAATGTATGTAAAAAATTGTTCTGTTGAATTTTTAGTGTTGAACTAACAATAAATTTGGCACAGTGCTGCGTATGTATAAATACATAATACACACAAAGTTCAACGAAATCACATACTATGAACTGACTATGAGCTCACATAAGTATATGACTTAGTTTTTATCATAACTATGTATCTCGAAAGGATTGTCAGAAATCTATCTGCTGTTATTGGCTGAGGTCTATCGATGTGTGTTTGTAGATATCTGAGATTATTGTCCAATGAATAATATTATTTTAAAACGGGCCTTTGTGTCTTGCATCTATTTCGTGCATTTATTTTCAACAACTTTTATGCGGATCACTAATCGCCGACGTTGGTAGTAGATAGAAATTGCGAGTAGGTGTTGATTTTATGACAAGAATTCATGTAATAAAGGATAGTTTCTAGTTCTAAAAATTTTGCAACCCAATAGCTTGCGGCTTTATGAGACATAAGTCAAATTGAAAATTAGTGATGATTATTCTGGATTTTTCCGTCATATCCTTTGTAAATAGCAGGTGCCTTTTTAACTGAACGAAGTGTATTTCATTTATACTGTGTTCCTCCAAAGTTCTTTTTAGTCTTGTGGTTACTTCTCTTCATTTCTTCACGATATCATTTCGTTCTTTGTAGCGTATTTCATAGTGTGCTGTTGTGACAGCTTTTTTGGTATCAAAACGTTAGTCTTACTGGTTGCTTGGTGTTTGTCGAAGTTATTACAAGATGTTTGACAAACTTTGTTTTCATTTGGATGCGTGTTTTTTGACTGAATTCGCTTATACTTACCAGTGTATTTGCTTCTCGATTCAGCGAGTCAAATGATATCCATTATTCGGTTGACTTTTCTATTGTACGTTGAGTTTTGCTTACTCTAAAAGCATTGAATTCAAGGAGATTGGGTTAGCCTATGTGCTATCAAACAATTACTTATTTTGATGAGTAGTCTGAGCACCTATTATTTTTCCTTCTAGTCGTACATCTATACCCACTTCCAAAACTAGCTACTTACCTCACAGCCGTTTTTCAGAATGTTTTTGGTGGGAAAATGAAAGAGACCTAAGTAGGTCAGTCGACTCTTCTCAACCTCATTTCTATTTTGGAAGAACGATCTGAGGCAATCGTATTTTTTTTTGGGGGGGGGGTCTGGTAGGACAGTCATTCAAGTTTAACGACGTTACTTTTTCAGAAGCAATCTGGTGATACATTGTATCAGTACACAAAATGTGTAAATAAAACTAGGTAGATCTACGTGGTTTTAATCGGGATTGATCTGTTGTTTCACATTTTATCATCATCTAACACAGACTTCCCGGAGCTTAGATTTCTACTGTAATCAAAGTCGTTGAATTATTTTTAGCGATCATGTTGCCATTTTTCATACTTATTTACTAATTTCCAAGTTTAATGTTCTAAAGAGTGTTTTGATACATAATCATATTGTTTGTTCTACATAATAGATGCCTCCTCATGTTCCACTTCTCAAGTAACCAATACTAGTGTGCATAATAGTAATCTATCACACACAAAAACTAGCAACGCCGAGGAAAATGGAAAATACTTAGTGTTTGGCGGTAAAGTTTCCGAACCTCGTGCCCCACGTATTTCTAATGTCAGAAAACAACAACCGATGAAATTTCAATCTCGTACACTCAGTCCTTCCGATAATCAAGATGTACATGAGTCGTTGCAAAGAAATTTTATCCTTAACTGCTCATCTGTTTCAACATTGAAGCGTAACTCTTCCGAAACAAGAAAAACTGATGATTTCGATCTACAATTTGAAAAGCAATTAAATAATGGTAGTAGACATTATGACCTAAATAATGATGTATCAGAAGATATTCACAATTACTTATTGAATTCTCCATCCTGTACAAATTTACTAAACACTGTAACTGCCAAATGTTCAGATAAAAAGTTGATTTCCAAGACGGTAGGTCTTGGAATTCCTACACAAAGGTAAATTATATATATATATATATATATATATATATATATTAAATGCTCTGTTTTTTCCTGTGGTAAAGAAATTCATGAAAATATGTTTTTCTAATGCCTACTAAAAGCCAACTGTTTATTTTCTACATGAATCCCGTTTGTCATAGAAAATAAAAGTTCCAGCCGTCCGACAGACTGATTCATTTGAATAACAACTAGTCTGTCGTAACCAAGTTTTGTGCCCAATACACTACTTCCACGTCAGTAAACCGTCAAGTAAACCACTAACATGCCGTTAACACTCCAAGGCCGAATGGGAAATTTTACTCAAAATATTCGAGACCCTGATAATTGACCAAACTTAGTGAATTTTCTGATTTTCACTATTATTAGTATCTGGTAATTATTATTATCGTAAAATTTCTCAGTATCGTTTATGTGTCAATGCTTATGATGTTATTGGTTAACATTTCCTTGGCAGTTATTTATGTCACTAGAAATTTGTTTGTATTTAACAAACACTGTAAACTACTTTCAAAGCATAGTTTGTGATACTGTTTTGCAAATACGCTATGTATATATCACTGAATAAGGTGAAATATCAGATTATTGGATTTGAGTGATTTCTTCAGTCTACCTCGAGAGAACTTATAGCTGACTGAAAAACAATTGTGCAATTTCTGATTGGATTCTTTATCGCTTTGTAGTTTCTTTTCAAAGAACACATTTTCTTTTTAATTCCTTATTCACAGTCTATGTTTATATGCAGAATTTAACCTGATAAGTTTTGTTTAACTTGTGAACTTTATTCAAAAATTATGAAAGAGCATTTATATTTGATAGGTTAGGATATTAAATAATGATTTATTACCTAATGGTACTGTACTTTAAGTGATCACTAAAGAGAAGACAAATCCCAGCGTAAACAAAGACGGTACGAATAAACGAAAAAGATAAATGTCAATCTAAGATATTAAGTGTGCTTTCCCTTAAATACGAACAGAATGAAGTGCGACGTCACTTTTCCTAGCATATAGAACAAACAAATGTCTATTTTCGAAGTGTTATTACTAAGTTTTGATAATTTCAAATAACAACTATTGGTAAAAGTCTCATATCATGACATTGACATGATCAAAATTATTTTTTGACTACTATATATTCTGCGTTCTTCTGTACTACATAAACTTATACTAACTTCAGGCAACTAGATCTCTCGATACATTTAAACAGCAAAATCAATAAGGTTTGTCAAAAAAGGATTAATTATGTTTCACAACTTCTCATAACCTATATACAGCCTAAGATTATATATATAATCTGTCAAGCATAAAGCTAATCAAGATTGAAAGTGAAGTTATATCTCTTTCTCGGATTTGAATGGCCATGTTCCAAGTAAAAATGTCAACCAATTTGAAAGGCTGTACCAACAAGCCACGGACTTAAAACTTATAGATCATGACAGAAAGGTTTGGTCTGAATCCAAACTTGTTGATATGGCAAATCAACATTATATTTTCGCAATTTCACATCCAAAAATGTTGACGAAGGAACATATGTTGGCATTGAAGAATTTACAAAAGAATAAGACCATTATAATAAGACCAAATTGAGCTTCATGTATTGTAATAATGAGTCGAAAAGATTATGTGTATAAAATAGCCCAAATTCTCAAAGATGCATCAAAATTCCAAGTTGGCAAATCTAGTAAATATGTCATCGGAACGATGGGAAACAGAGTTAATAAACAACCTACGGAACTTTTGAAAAAGGAACTCATCGATAATTCAACTTACAATAATCTGCAGGCAAAATGGTCGAGATTGCCTTTTATATATAGTTTCCATCATGTACACAAATTCAATATCCCGTTAAGATCTATAGTGTCTATGGTAGACTCATTAATATCATAAGTTAGCTCGATGGTTAACTAAATTATTAGAACCAATTCTTAATAAATTGGCGGCTCATAGTTTAATAGACAGACCACAGTTTTCTGATGAAATGGATAATTTGAATAACCCAGATAAATTCATGATGTCTTTTGATGTCTGCTCATTATTTACACGCATACCATTAAAAGAGGTTGTTAATATAATTTGCGAACAGTCTGAACTACTTTCTTGACCATAAAATAAGTTGAGGAAATTATTATTGCTTTGGATAAAAGAAAGTCATCTCCAGTTCAGCAATAAATTGTACAAGCAAACAGGTAGGGTGGCCTTAGGATCGCTCCTATAGCCTACTTTGGCCGATGTTTGTGGTTAACCTAGAAGAAAAAATAACTAAAACATGAAATACAGAATACGATACACCATTCCAAATATGTCGATGTACGTTTATTATTTGTGATGACATGGATTATTTTCCAGTTGGTGTCTTTAACGTGTTTTGGACTTTTAGATGCCCGGAAACAGTAGATAACTGTTCTAACTTATCAATGAAACATGTATTAGGAATTCGGCCGTTAGTGAGACTATCTCGGAAAAAGACGTGAATATTATTCACTCTCAACCCAGGAGATTGAACCAATGGCCAGAACACTCTTGGAAAACGTTCAACTGACCTTCAGCCACACTTCAGTTACCAATTATTTCCAAGCAACCTGAATGGGAAATTGATATTAGTTTTTCAACTCTTGGTGAGGTTGGAAAGGCTATGAGCAGCATGAAGCGAGGGAAATCAGCACGATCTAATAGACAGACGAACCCGCGGGAAAGTGGTTTAGTTTTAGCAGTTAGATTAACCGCAATCTTTGATAGAATTTGGGGACTATTTTATCTCGTCATGCTAATGTGGTATTGCAATTGCAGCTAACTTACATTCGTGCTAGATCCTACGCTGATTATAACTATCCGATAGTGAAGCAGGGTTGATTTTTCCTCAGTATGTGGTGGTTATTTTTCCGTCGTAAAATCATTTTATTTTAATTCTTGTCATTATGTCATTTTAATTGGTGCAAATTTTCGAGTTGCTACCCTGTCTTTTGTTGCACAAGTTTAGCGTTATTCTATGTTGTTTTTTTTTCAGTAAGAATAATTGTATGTTATGATTATATTGTAACTGCATGTTATTTCCAAAATATAATTTATTTATGTAGTATTATTTATCTTACAAAGGATCTATATTTCGTTTGCTTGATTCATACATTTTAAGACCTTACTAATCCTATTTAGGCCAAATCATCCTCTAAAACTTTCTCCATCTTTTATGGAATCAACTTCAATGAAAACTGTTAATGATTCTTTGCGTCATGAATTAAAGCATCCATCTAGTTTCCTGTTTGCTAATGAACAAAGAGAAATGGTTGAGGAATTACAAGCAACAAGAATTATTCTTTTGAAACTGAAACGTTTATTAGTCGAGGTTAGTGACTGAAATGTTTTATTTTTTACTGGAGTAACTTTCTATTTCTCAGCATAGTGTTATTATCGTAGTATTTCAGTAATCGATTTTCGAAAACTTTGTGAGCTGTACCTCACGTCAACTAATTACTTTTACGTCGCCTGTTGTTTTGTGTAGAAAATTCATATTACAGATATGTTCTATCTAAATGATAAGAATTATAATAGCAGAGAAAATAACCCTCAGTCGTAGTGTTGTTTTTATCATATTTTGTCTAGTCAACAAAACAGTCTTTATTTGGGATCTTCTTTGCTAAGTAGTTAGATCGTTATGGGATTGTTTTCGGACTAGTAATCAAACGATTTACTGATTCTCCATGGTGAGCACACAACAAAAACATATCGAACCGTATGAGTAAATAATGCGTAGTTTTGTTTATTCGAAACGTTTTCTTTTACTATTTTAATATCTTCGAATTTTATAGTATCAAATAACTTTTATAGTTCCAAATTCTCCTATCATTTAATAATTACATTGCCAGAATTACAAGACCCCCCACCATAAGCTTCCTAATATTCAGTATATATATGATAAATCGATCCCCTATTTAACTTGCTGATAGTTTTTTAAGCTTGGATAAAATTCTCAGCCAGTCAGCTACAACGTCGGACCAGGCACATATATGCATCGGGACAAGTTGCCATACCACATTAACACGACAAGATGAACACCGGATTCATGAAAGTAGTGGTGATAATATATAAGGGAAAGATAGCATATAAGGATATAGCACAGGAAGAAAGAATTAGTTCGTAGAAAGAAAGATATGAAGCGATTTTAATCTCTTAGTTTGAGGGCAGACAGAGAGTGTATACACCGACGCCATTGTGATCGATTCTGAGCCATGTCACCAAGAGTCTCCAACCATTGGTTACGATAGTCACGCGGACCCCAACCAAGTAGTCTGCATCTCCGAACATGGCTCAGACTACAAGTTAGTGACTTCAAGCACTGATGCCACGTTTTGGTTTGGCCGCCCCTAACTTTCTTCCAACCATCTCCAACACCGGTTAGCATTGCACGTCGTGTTAATCGGTGTTCGGGCATACGTAACACGTGGCTCAACCATCTCAGTCGATGAAGATTCACAAGCTGATCAACTGATTTACCATCATTCCCTAATACCTTGCGTCTAACCTCACTATTACTTATCCGGTGATCCCAGCAGACGTCAGCAATATTTCTGAGGCATCTGTGGTCAAATATTAGTAGCTTACGAGTACCTTCTATTCTTAATGGCCATGTTTCGCTGCCGTAAATTAAAACAGAACGGACTGCCGCGCAGTATACTCGTCCTTTAATTGATAGACGGATATCTCGCCTTCGCCAAAGGTGACGCCTTTTGAACTTCTGCTACAGTTGGGGGACCTACTTCAATGTTCCATTCACACTGTCTGGGAATGGAGGGTAGTTGTAGAGTAGCTGAAGGCCAGCTGAACTGTTCTCTAAAATGTTCCGCCCATCGTTCTAAACGTTTGGACTGGGGGCAGATAAGGGTGTCATCTTTTTCCGTTATAATCTTACTTACACTTGACTTATTAGTTCCAGTTTCTTTTACTAGTCTGTAAAGCTGTCTTGTGTTCCCTATAGCCGCCGCCTTTTCCATCTCTTTTGATTTCGTTGCCCACCACTGCTCACGGTCTTTTCTTAGACTTTTTCTTAACCTAGATCTGATTTGTTTGGTGTAAGGGGTCGACATGTTAGATGATGTCTCTCCTTATGCTTAAAATTTGTTCTGGCTAAAAATGAAAGATTGTCTGAGCACAGTTGCAGCAGACGATCATTATTATCTGTTCGTTGTGACGGAATACTAAAATATACACCTAAATGCCTTTCTGTTTGGTTTAAACTACCTATTTGTGCATTAAAGTCACCTGCTACGAGTACTATGTTTGAACGTCTAGCTTTCTGTAAAATTCATCTGTCACTTCATCTGAGCTGCAGTCGGTGGGAGCGTAGGCAGAAACGACAAAAAGGCGACGACTTGTGTCCCTATTATTCCGAGTTCTTACGTAGCCGTTTAGCCGAACAGCACATAGACGACTGTTGACGGGGATCCACTCTAGCAGTGCTTGTTCGGCCCTCATGCTTAGTGCTATGCGTATACCTGCCAGTCCACGAGAACTGGCCATCGGGTCACCAGATACACGGAGGGTGTATCTCGTTGGCTCTCCGTTTTGCCGAGGTGAGGTCAAGTGAATGACCACACTGAGATCTTGTGTGTGCGTGTTTCAGAGACACAGCATACATCAATAGAAAGAGATTCTAGGGTTCTAGCCAAGGAAGATTATTGACCGATTTGACATAGGGTGCTTACGTTGAAGGCTCAAATGTATAGTTTTGAGAGAAGATTCAGTAGACCTGGAACAGTGTTTTGAGCACTAGGATCGTTGGCTATGGTGACGCTTGAGGGGGAAGCCGAAAAAGGAAGTTTAGCGTTGACAGTTGATGTACGAGGGATAATAGAAATTGAAGAGGGAAGAACACTTTATGGATCAGTTCAACTGGTCTTCAGCCACACTTCGGTTCCCCACGATCTCCAGTCGACCTGGATGGTAAGTTTATGTAGGTCCTCCAACTCTTTACGAAGTTGAAAACGCTATAAGAAATCTGAAGCAAGGGAGGGCAGCAGGCCCTGACAGGTTTACTCCTGAGATTTTCAAGGATGGTGGTCCAGTATTAGCAATGAGATTAATCGAGGTCTTAGGTAGAATTTGGGAACTGGACGTAATCCCATCTGATTGGTCTCAATCACTGATTGTGCCAGTCTATAAGAAAGGACAAAAGTCTTCTTGTGACAATCATAGAGGAATCAGTTTGACTAATGTAGTGTCTAAAATACCAGCTTTAACAGTACTTTGACGCCTAACCGAGGCTCGTGAAGAGCAGACTAGAGAAAATCAGGCTGGTTTTCGACCTGGACGTGGTTGTATAGACCAGATATTCACACTACGTCAGGTTCTAGAACACAGACACACATTCAGAAGCCCCACAATGGTAGTATTTCCCGACCTTAAAGCAGCATTCGACTCTGTTGATCGTGAGGTTCTATGGCAGTGTTTGTCACTGAAAGGAGTACCAAAGAAGTACATTAACCTTGTAAAGGCTCTCTACTCGAATACAACTGGCCGAGCGAGGGCTTATGGCGAACTGTCATCAGAATTGATTACCTCAAGTGGTGTTCGTCAGGGCTGTCCACTCTCCCCATTCTTGTTCAACTTTGTAGTTGATGTGCCTTTAAAGATAACACTCTCCTCATCTAAATCTTCAGGGGTTGAACTTCTACCGGGAGATCCACTTGTTGACTTGGAATATGCCGATGACATAGTTCTGTTTGGTGAAGACGCTGACAAAATGCAGAGTCTTCTGACCACTGTAAGCAACAATGCAAGCATGTTTGGGATGCGATTCTCCCCCTCGAAATGCAAAATGTTGCTTCAGGTTTGGGTTCCATCGACACCCGAACTAATGATAGGGAGTGAAGTAGTTGAGCGTGTCGACTGTTTCACTTATCTTGGGAGTCTCATCAGCCTTTGTGGTCTGGTGTGTGACGGAATCTCAGAATGAACACTGCCATAGAACCTCACGATCAACAGAGTTGGATGCTGCCTTGAGGTCGAGAAATACTACCATTGTAGGGCTTTTGAATGTGTGTCTGTGTTCTAGAGTCTGACGTAGTGTGAATATCTGGTCAATACAACTACGTCCAGGTCGAAAACCAGGTGAAAACACATGTTACGTGTGTCCAACCACCGACTGCCTCGACGTGCGATGCTCAATGGTATAGGAGTAGGTTGGAAGAAAGCTAGGCGCGGCCAGACCAAAACATGGCACAAGTCCTTGAAGTCACTGACAAGTGGACTGAGCCATGTTGGTAGGTGTAGACTACCTGGTTGGGGACCACAAGATGATAGCAACCGATGGTTAGAGACCCAGAATGACATGGCTCAAAATCGTTTGCAATGGCGCAGGTGCATCCACTGTTTGTGTTCTCCCAAATTCTAGTCTGAATTCTTCATGTCATTTATTTTCTTTCCAAATTTATTTCACTGGATTATACTCCTTGAATAAAGTCTTCAAACTCTAATCTTTCCGATTATTGCTTATACTCTTACTACCTCTACCACTAGGGGATTTGAGTCGATAACTGCATCTCTGTGCTAATGTGGTATGGCAACTCGAACTGATGTACGTACGTACGAAGTTCTACGTTGTTACTGACTGACTGAGTGCTATTAGAAATATGAAAGTGGTTTTTACTTCCCGATCGCTCACACTGTGGAAGGGTTCTGCTGGACGTACCTGAAAAGGGCAAGAGGTGGTCTTAGTAACCTGAGGACATGACCGCAGGACCTAAGGGACAACTGCCTAAAGCCAGTCACAAACGACCTTCTTGTGGATAATTTTTTGTTAGCTCCGTGCTTGTTGGGACCTCACCGCTGGAGACGGAAATCCGTGGGATAAGGCGAGGTGTGCATTTTTAGGTTCGACCATTTCTAACCCCACCCTTCCTTGTAGGAAGGCAGCATCGCTGTCATGCTGGTTGTCTGAAGGAAACACCTTACTGTTGTCACACTTCTATACAGTCGGCAGTACGACTTCGCCTTCGGACCTTGGGTTTGTAGCTTTTAGTCTTACCGCTCTTCAACCGACCTGTCTGACATGGTAGGACCTTCAGGAATGGTTTTTCCAGCCATTATAGCCCGACCACCACGTCAAGGTAACAACAACGGTCGGAAAAAATTATCAGTCATCGACATTGAAATGTACTATTTACCTTTCTATTGGTTCAACATGGGTTTATTTACATAATCCTAATTTCTGCTATCGGTAATTGGCGATTTATTCGTGTTAGCGTGCAGTATATATTATTTTTTGCCAGCTAACGTTGTAAGCTTAAATGTACTCGCATCCGCGCCCATTACATTTTGTGTTAATATTTCCTCTCTTTTTGGTACCAAATTATCATACATTTAAATCCAGACTCCGATTTCGGGAAATAATCTTTATTCTTCGACTTTCAAACCAACAAATCTATGTAACGACTCGTTGCATTCCCTCAACTTTACCATGTGTCATTGTAATGTAAATCAAAGTCGATTTCTGCTTGTTCCCTCAGTTGCCGAAGATAATCGACCAATACCCTCTATCTGTAACAAATCAATCAATAGAACTGGTCTCGAAGAGCTTATTGATGTAAGTTCTTCTTATAAAACTTTTTACGTTATCATAGATAAATACATTTCTACTTGCTATAATGCATTTCTAAGACGCTTTTCAGTGGATTGCTGTATATATATTTTCTTATATACCTAAACTAATTGATATGGTCATTTTTATTAAGTAACTCATAAGATTTTATGATTTTTGCCCCTGTCAATTATCACGTGACAAAATCGCCAATCAGAACATCGACTTATAAGACCTTGTTGTTGTGTTAAACCAATGACAAGTCAAAACAGTACTGGCAGCTTTGCGCAAACTGTGAATCTTTATTGATCCTTCTCGCCTAGTCCTGACCGTTGAGTCCAGAAAGCAAATCTCAACCTCCGCTATATAAATCATGTATTTCAAACATACGCAGTTTATGTACAAGCAAATCAGACCGCATCATATCATCAAATAGAAAATAACAATTATACACGATCAAGCCAAAAGTGGCTGTGAGTGTGAGATATTGAGAATAAATTAAGAATAGTAAATCAAATAATAGTAATCAATAGGTCAAATGAAATTTTATGATAAAATGAATATATATATAGTTACTTTATGGTTATCCAATAAGAACGTGTGTAATAATAGTTCATCAATAATTTCTAGCAATTAACACTCATTTATTCTTCGTTAGGATATAATATAAGATTTATCTAGATTGTAATACTCTGGCCAGACAGGTTGTTCATTGGTTAATCGTAAAGATTCTAACTTAACATATTCTGCGTATAAATATTCTAAAGTAAATTAGTTCTACAAACTTGATAACTGGTGTACCGTAGTTAAGGTTGCATGTTATCTACTAGTTGACCTTTGTTTAATGTATCGGTTTTCTATCTCCCTTTCTTGATAGATTTATCCCATTAATTACCAAATCAGTGTAAATATTATTGCAATTACACAGTTTATTTTTGTACACCAACTTTCAATCGTTGGTTTCTTTACATACATCAAAAATCTTTCTGTTTTGTTAGCTCAGTGCTGGGATTGCTAAATGATTGTACTAATGAAAAACCTATTTTACCCTCAACTTTTAAACTGTTTCCCGTAAAAATTGAAACCAATTGCATATATTGTTGTTTGCTTTTCGCAAATGAATTTTAGAGCCTTGCACAGCTTCACTTTGAAAAATCAGAAATTCTATGCGCTACCTAATAACTGTAAATCAACGTTTTATCGCTTCAGAACTGTAAGTATATTTTTGAATTTATGAAACATTGCTTCCAAAATCATCAGAAATTATTTCTTTAAGAGTTATTGTTACATTTTGTAATTATCAATAGTAATTGCACTTCGGATTGTTTACTTTTGAGCATATGGTCAGTTTTATTCAGAGTAAGCATACAGACATCGTCAACATAGAGCCTGTACGTTGGCCCGATTTTCAAAGCCTCATTAGCAGGAAAAAATGGAAATAAAAAACAAGTCCGAATGATGTAATAGCAATGATAAATAAATAGAAATAAATATTGAGAGTAAGTTTGGGAAGTTTGAGCGAAAACGTATAATTGGAACGGTAATGAGATTCAAGATCTAGAGGAAGATAAACAGTAAATGCGTCTGTACTACGATAAGCGATTCTGAGATATACCACCTAAAGTCTCTAAAAATTAACACTCGTTCAATTTGGTCATCTAGTTTGTTTAACGAAGATGACGTATTCACCGTAAGTAGAATAGTTGTTGGGTCATAATTGTTACAGACTGACACAATGTTTACATCTCGGTATAACTTGCCTAAGATAAGAAAGGTTGGTTAGTGGAAACTTTAGGTATCTGTTCAAATAAGAACCTATGCGTAGTATGTAATAATGTAATAAGAAGACGACGATTATCAGAACTATGTGATATATTAGCGCAATACAAATCGAACAATCTGATCACACATACTTGTTAAGAACATATGTATTAATAAATGATCAACTAGACTGGAAATGGGGTAAGAGGAGATAAGGGTAATAATAAGAGTAATAATAATAATAATGTGAACACAATTTGAAACCTAATCACTCTGGCTAATAAGTCATTATTAGGGTAGGTTTAAGGTGGGAACAAACTGTTTTTCAATACACAAAGGGGGGTTGAATTTTCGTATGGCTAACGCTTCAATAACCCTTAGTATACGCCCTTTTACACCTTTATACAACACCACAAAAGCCGAGTTATGATCAATCTTATGGCCTATTTCGATTATATGTTTAGTAATAGAGGATGATGGATGTTGATCCTCTGCTCTTATTGGGTCACTTGATTGTAGTTGTTTCCGCAACCATTTTGGTAGATGTTCACACACCCTAACTTTGAGATCACGATTGCTCCGCCCTATGTATGTGTGACCACACACACATTTAAGTTGGTAAACAGTGGAATGTGACAATCTTTTTCATGTCTTTAAGGTTTTGGATGAAGCATGCACCTTGTTCCTTCTTTGATAATGACCTTTGCGGCGCAATACGTTTTGTTGATGACTGATTTAAGCCTTTGTTTCAATAAAAGGTTATTTGAATCACCTCTGAATGGTAAGGTGATGTAAACAGGCTTTTTTTCTACCAAGGCTACAATAGGTCACACTGTACCATCGACTTACCGTCTATTTATGAATTTCAGAGGAATGCTATCAAAAGTATGTGAGTTGTCTGAATTTTAATTGGAGCAAGAACAGTATTTCCAGTAATTAGAACAACACATATAAGCGAACAATTGTTTTCAATTAGATCTTCAAAAGATTACGTTTAAATTATAATAACTTTGGAACAGAAAAGGCTATGGCAGTAAATCATACATCAAAAGAAAGCTTATGGTCTCTAGAATAAAATAGGAACAAAATTAAATGTTACTGTTTTACAAGCTTTGAATTAAATGAGATAACGTCCCCAAAAATAGCTTCCGTAGTTTGTCTAGGCTTCTTGTTCTCTGTTCATATCACAACCTACACTAAGCAATGAAGTGTCAGAAAATCAATTTCATACCCATTGACAAACCACAGATGGGTAGAATACTTCGAGGAACTCCTGAATAGGCCGGCTCCAATGAATCCACCGGACATCGAAGCAGCACACATAGATCTTCCTATAGATGTCAATCCACCAACTACGGAAGAAATTAGAATGGCCGTCAGACAAATCAAGAACGGGAAAGCATCAGGACCCGACAACATACCAGCTGAAGCACTGAAATCAGACATTGAAGCAACCACAAGCATGCTTTATTTTCTATTCAAAAAGATTTAGGAGGAGGAACAAGTGCCGATGGACTAAAAAGAAGGACACCTCGTCGAGATCCTAAAGAAAGAAGATCTGAGTAAATGTGAAAACTACATAGGCATTACACTACTGTCAATACCAGGGAAAGTCTTCAACAGATTGTTGCTGAACCGGATGAAGGATGGAGTAGACGCCCAACTTCAAGATCAACAAGCTGGATTCCGTAAGGATCGGTCGTGCACAGACCAAATTGCAACACTACGGATCGTCGTCGAACAATCAGTTGAGTGGAACTCGTCACTATACATCAACTTCATTGATTATGAAAAGGCATTCGACAGTGAAGAGAGGACATTATGGAAACTTCTTCGACACTACGGAGTTCCTGAGAAGATTGTCAATATTATCCGGAACTCATACGACGGACTACATTGCAAAGTAGTGCATGGAGGACAGCTGACAGATGCATTCCAAGTAAGGACCGGAGTCAGACAAGGCTGTTTACTCTCTCCCTTCCTCTTTCTTCTGGTGGTCGACTGGATTATGAAGATCTCAACATCTGAAGGAAAACACGGAATACAATGGACAGCTCAGAATCAATTAGACGATTTGGACTTCGCAGATGACCTAGCCCTCCTATCACGTACACACGAACAGATGCAGATGAAGACAGCCAGTGTAGCAGCAGTCTCTGCATCAGTAGGCCTCAGCATACACAAAGGGAAAACTAAGGTCCTCAAATTCAAAGCGGAGAACAGCAATCCAATCACACTTGATGGCGAAACTCTGGAAGATGTAGAGTCCTTCACATACCTGGGAAGCATCATCGATGAACAAGGAGGTTCAGATGCAGACGTAAATGGGAGGATTGGCAAAGCAAGAACAGCATTCCTACAATTGAAGAACATATGGAACTCAAAACAACTTTCAACCAATATCAAAGTGAGAATCTTCAATACGAACGTCAAGGCAGTTCTACTGTATGGAGCTGAAACTTGGAGAACTACAACAACCACAATCAAGAAAGTACAAGTATTTATAAATAGCTGTCTACGCAAGATACTCAACATCCATTGGCCGGACACCATCAGCAATAGCCTTCTGTGGGAGAGAACAAACCAACTTCCAGCTGAAGAAGAAATTAGGAAAAGACGATGGAAAGGGATAGGACATACATTACGCAAATCGTCAAACTGCATCATGAGGCAAGCCCTAACTTGGAATCCTGAAGGGAAGCGAAAAAGAGGAAAGCCAAAGAACACATTGCGTCGGATAATAGAAGCAGATATGAAAACGATGAATTACAACTGGACGGAGCTAGAAAGGATTGCCCAGGACAGGGTTGGATGGAGAATGCTGGTGAGCGGCCTATGCTCCTTCACGAGGAGTAACAGGCGTAAGTAAGTGATAAACCACATATGTTTTAATTACAATATCTCTTCAATCGTAGCAGATATTTTGAGAAAACTAGCTAATAACAATTTGAAGCAATCAGCTATATCACTTAACAGTTACGTTTGAGGATGAATGTAAAGAATAAATTTTTTCATGGACTATTTTAATTTTTTAAGGACTGTTGAATAATTATACGACAAAGACGCGACCAACTATTCACTTTTTGTTATGATAGGACACTCGATGTTAACGTTTTTATACTCGTACACACCTAGGATTCTATCTTCCTGAATTTTTATTACATTTTTGTTGCATTTATTCTTTAAACACATAGGTGATTCAGGCAAACATGTACTTGATGGTTTTTGTATTGTATAGTATAGATATTTCAATACTGTGTTTCCAACACATTTTGACACTCATAATTTAAATCACATTAATAGTCGTATTACGTGTTATCCGGAGGATGGTGTAGTTCTGAAAGTGGTTTTTAACATATTTTGACTGCTTCCTTTTATATTCTAAAAGGATTTTTAGATCTTTTTTTTGACAACCTTAATGTTGAAAATGTAAAACTTCGTGAAATTTCCTTCAAAACATCATTGTAGTTCTTTGAATTGACAACTATAACTAGTTATTTTATCAGGATATTCGGTGTCGAATGTAACTACGTATCAAGACGAAAATCACAGAAATACCGTTTATTATCAAACCCATTGGTTTCGTGCCACTTTGCTTTTCTGTTGTCACCTAAATATTTCAGTGATTCCATATCATACACTCAGTAATTTGTTTCTTTCTATTTCTGATAAGAAAGTGAATCGGATCAGGTGACTTATTATTAGCATTCCAAAATTCTTATTAGGTTAGTCACATTTTACGAATGCTGTACTTTATTCTGGTCGAAATCAATGTTTTATTTTAAGAAAGTTTAATGGAATTAACTAGTTCGTTTTTATCTTAATTGTTAGCTCCATTTTCTAAATATTTATCCACTGATCGTTTATATTGTCATATCGTTTTGTGAATAAAGAGGTTAAAATATTAGCATTTTAACATTTGCAAGCTATTAATCCATACTCCACATACTTCGGTTAGAATAGCCGGGTAGCAGCACATGATGGCTCAAAACTGAATACATAAATTTGTGCTTGGTAAATGAATCAAAATATCTAAACGCATGTTTTAACTGTCATTGCTGCTACTGTTATTCTGTTATAATTCAGTTGAAAGTAGATATTTTTACACATAGTGTATCATATCTCATTGTTATATTTTAATACGAACACGGTTGTAAGCAGTTGAAGATAAACCACGAAATAAAATGCATTCAAATTATTTTGCCTCAGTTGTGGTTTTAGCCTTAATGAAATAGGTATTGGCTGTCGTGCTTTGAAAAATTATTTCTCACAAACCAAATATCCCGTATAAGATCTTCAGGAAATTCACGGATTACCACATCCTGGATAACTAGACACCTTACTGCCGCAAATTTTATTGTATTCAAAACAAACTCATCAAAACACATGCAGTTTTTCGTCATTTTAGCTATGTTTCAGTTGACACTATTAAAGGTATCAAGTAATCTAGTCCTGTAAGGTTCGGAATATATATAATATTCCCTAAATTTAATTTGCAGTACAGTAATGAAGTACAATAATCCCAGTATATAGTAAAATTAAAATTTACAAACTATATATATACGCATTTTTTTCTTCGTTTAAATATTACTGATCACTGTTCACCGAATTTTTTTTAGACTACATATCCTGAGGATTTGGATACTTAAATATATTTTTTAAAGTTCTAGCAGATATCTGGCGCTTCTTTTGGGAAGTTTTTCTTGGTAAATTTTCCATGACCTTCCTAATTGTAACTTTCCTCAAGATGCAGCTGATATACTTTATTTCAAAAAAGTGGATTTTTATTTATGCCGTTTTGTTTTGTGTGTCTATTCTGGTCCTAGCTTAACTTGATATATTTATGTATGTCTATTCAAACTTTATTTATTCAGAGATAGTGCCACTACTTTCAAAAAGAAATTTATTTAATTTCCGGATTTTTTAAAATGCATTCCTCAGAACACAGTATGGTTTTTTGAGATTATCAACTGTGATGCCCTTTATTTATTTATGCACGTTTGGTATTGAATGTTTTTATGCAATAATAATTTTAATCAAGAAATCATTTACTTTTGGTTTTCTCACCAGAATTGATGTTTGTATGCAGATGTGGGTTCGTTGCTTTGATCAAGTTGGTTCGCTTTACAATATCACTCATTATTTGCCGATGCCTTTATGTCTATCACTTGATATTCATGTTTTTCAAAGGTTTGTTAGCGGAAATTCACTATTGCCACTTTCTTCTATTTTACAATATAGTGTCTGCAGAAAATTCAGACTATTGACAGGAATTCTTCATGTCAATCGCTGTACAATAAAATTAGATATCATGGCCTCATTGATCTAAATTGTTTATTTTCTTCACAGTAACAATGTTTTATCAGATTGCTTGTTTCGAGGCGCTGAGTTCACTGTCTACCTCTTTTCAAAATTGTTAGTATTTCATATTATTTTACCACATATATAAAATCGTTATCAAAATATATCGTAATGTCTACTTATTTAGGTTTATGTATTTGTGAAATAAGTGCAAAATTAAAGTTCCAATAATTTGAACAAAATGTGATTAATTTCCAATTTCCCCACATCTACTTGACGTTAACCCTTGGAATCTTGTTCATTCGCTAACAAAAAATCACCATTATTGATTATAGTATTTATGATTAGTTAAATTCATATTTCTCTATGGTACCATATTTTATTTACCCATATTACTCGTTGTATATCTTCTCATAACTGTTTTCAAAATGAACTTATGTATGACATAAACCGTCATACTTGTCAGGTCACATGCATGTGTTGAAGTTGAGTTGTTTTTGAGGATACTATGTTTTAAACGAATGTGTAAATTAGGAAAAAGTAATCACGTTAATGTTAAATGTGACGTACATGCATAGTCGTTGTACTTCCGTTCAAAGATTTATGAATATAACCAGTTAGTGTGGGAGGGGACTGTCATTTCGATATGATTGCAGCCTGTGTGAGCGGTTTAGTTGGTAAGGTAACTCACATGCGCGCCTTGAAGATTTGTGTTCACACAAAAACACATGACACAATCATTGTAATAAGGATTGTCTCTATTCCATACTAACAAAATAATCATTCCCGTTAACCAACACTTGAGTGTGGTTTAGTCACCCAAGTATCCATGATTATCAAGTGTTTGAAATGACTGGACAATTGAACTAGCATATTATCAATGGATAATTACTAAAAGGAACCTGTCATTGGGATGTATATATATGATTTACAATAATGAAATAATACTCGTCGAGTGGATACGTTAAGTAATAATTACATAATGAAAATTCGATTATAAATTAAAATTGAGTAATTGAAAGAAGGATAATTAATAATAGTCAAAGTAATTATTCGAAAATCAAGAAGTTGCTACGTTACATAGTATATAAAAAAGTGAGAAGGAACAGGATATTTTGATGAGTGGTCAGTAGAGTAGTAGTTGTGCAAGCATCAAGAGATCAATGTTGAAAATGATTAAAATGCAAAGTTCAAAAAAATGGAAGAAGAAAGTAGTTTATCAATGTTCTGCTACAAACTCCCCTATACCGATGGCCAAGGTAGCGAAAGTAGTTGTACAAACTTCTTTTGGATGCAAACGTTAGGTTTGTGAACATGGATTGCAATGGCTTCAGCAATGTGCAAAAGACGCACTCGTAAACCATGTGACATATTCGATGGAATATGGTAGATAACCTTAAAAGCTTTATTCAGTTCAACTTGATGACCTGTGTCAACCAAGTGGGCCTGTCCTTTGCTCAACTACGATGGATGGTGCTCTGTTATACGATGACGAACTTGCCGAATTGTACGCCCCATATAACTGGCTCCACAGAACCAGTTTAATCGATAAGTACACATAGATTTGGCGAATTCAGGCAATCTGTCTTTATTGGCTGTTCTTATTGTGGGGCGGTTGTAGAAGGTAGCACTCAGTCTGACTGCATTAAATGTTTTTTGTACCGCTTTTCTCAAACTCTGAGTCACAATTTCTTCAGTAGTATCATTTGGGAATTGTAATTTTAAATACAATACTTCCTTCGGAACGGTAGGCAGCTTTATCCTTTTCATCTCCTTCATGTGTTTTCACTGGGTACCCTTTCCTACTAAGTAAGTTACGAATATTTACCAATTCATGTACAATAATGTCGTCCGAACAAACCATTCCAGCACGATGAGTCAGGATCTTTATCAAGTTCCTTTTGTATCTAATAGGTACTGCACTATAGAAATAAGTGGATTGTCCTGCTGCAGAATTTCTGTGTAACCCTCTGTTTAAAGTTCCATCTGCTCGTCTAATTAGTTGGACAGCTGGAAACGTTAAGCTACGGTTCTTTTCTTCTGCTAGTGGAAAATTAATAGATGAATGAACGTTATTAAATATAATAAGTAAACTGTCCTTTACCTGTTCTTTTTCTAATACTACGAAAGTATCATCCACATAGCGATAATAAGATGTTAAATTGCTAATTGTGTTTTTAAGTGGTCCATTCTCCAGTTTTGCAAGGAAAATAGAGGGCCCAATAGTGACCCCATCTAGTTGTCTATAGTATTCGTTGTCAAATCGGCATTGGATAGAACCTCTTGAAAAAAGTTGTATAATATTACACTTTGCCTGATAGGACCTCTATGTTTTTTTCATTTTGATAGCTTAAATTCATCCGGATTGAGTGTCATTTCATTGCTGCTGATAAAAGAAGCCTACATGTTCTCTTCTAGTATGAAAACACTTCATTCATTTAACGGTTGAAAATTTACCGTAACATGGAAATACGTCTATAAAGTAATGACATCAGTTAGATAAAAAATAGAAGTTCTTCCCCTTTTGTTACCACCTTTCCAATGGGTTTATCTGTATTTGTTAAAAATATCTCTTTCCATAAATTATTCAAATAATTATCATTCAACTTACTGTTAGTTTTGAATTCACGTTAAATAACCGCATTCCGTTTGTAACAAACATAAGATGGCCAGCAAATTAATTGACCAGGTATGCGCATTTATTGCACTATATTTCTGGTGTGAGATATCAAATCTACGGGCACCTTTTACTTTTGATAGTTTAATTAGACTTTTTCTCATCTTTAATTAGACTACATACAATGCATTTCTAAATAAGAAACATCTATTGCAATGAACCTGTGCTTTGTATTTAGTTTATCCAAAATGAAAATACCGATGTTTGGCGGACTTCACAAATTCCATTCGTATTCCTATCTGCTTACGCAATCATCATTATTCTCCCTAAGACTTCCAAAATATTCAAGCTTGCAAACTCGTTTGTTACATTCGGGACACAAAACAGAATTATTTGGTGATAAAAATGAATCTTGGGTACCCATATATCGTTTCCGTTCCATAATTTTCCTCCAGGTCTGTTTCCAATTATTTGTCTTCTAAAAATTAGTAAGTCACTAACACGAAATATATATATATTAAGCATGTAGTCCAACACAGTTAACCAGTTCTTCAAGGATTGGCAACATGTAATCAGACCTCCTTACATGTTTCATCCGAAGCATATTCGAGGGCGATTGTGCTGATAGATTTTAGGTGGTTCATGTTTGTGCTAATGTGGTTCTGCCATAAGCAAAATCATGGATATTTTTAAACCCTTGCCGTTTTTCAATAGTCGCAGGATTTCTTAAGACAGGAATCCGTCGATAATTGATGGTGTGGGAACAGTTAAAAAAATCTCACACTGTATAAGTGGGCATACTGAAAATGTATGTAGTCCATTGAATTTGATCGTAGGTTTTTGAAAAATTTGTCCACCACTAGATGTTATTCCATTACAAAAAAGCTTAAGGGTCTTCATCCAAACTTTCTTTTACATTGTAGACCCAATGGTCATTATGACTATGAAATAGCCCAACACACCCCACCTCTACTCAATATTTTTACAATTTAATTTATATTAGTTGCGGTATTATTACGGAACATAATAAATGTCGTTTAAGACACAATTGCTACAGTAACAAGTATTGGACAGTGTTTGCAAACTGGAACTTATTCCTTGTCTTAAAACCTGCCAGTAGACATCCAAAAGACACACATGTTTCAATTATTTTCATGAGAAATTAGTAGTATTTAAATTGTTGGTAACTAGACGATGTATTAATAATTTAACTTACAATTATTTTCCTAGGCGATCTCACAACTTAAAATTATATTAACTGGCTCATTAATTTCTGGCTGTCCAGTAGCTATATACAAATACCTACATGATCAAGTTTCTTCCTCATTAGTCTATACATTTCTGGGTTGTGCCGCGTTTTCCCTGTGCAGTCTGATTATTTTCAGTTGGCTCAGCATAAAAATTGTGGGAGTCGTAAGTTAATCATATTTTATATTATATATAAGATTCCTCTTGTATAAAATCTTTTTAGTTCTTCGAGTTAAGTCATACTATACTGACAGTTCTTATTGCTTCATATAGCGGTTAATTGATAAGGACAACCCAAGATTCATCACATCCAAGTTTATAGTGACCGTCAGTCAACATATCTATCTTCAAATGAGAGGGATTTACGACGAGTTTCTACACATACTTTTCGTGTTATGCGTGATCAGAAATCGGTTTTCGGCTGGAGATTTAAGATGTTTTGTTTCGTTACGTCAGGTTTTTCATTATAGTGAGCATCTGATCTTCATAAATCACTATGAGGAAAACTTAATGTACAAGAAATATATGCGTTACTAGTTCTTTGTAATAGTTGTCAGTAGGTCCGTAATTAAAAATTTGAGTGGTCAATATAACTTTTAGATACCTTGCAATTGCTTTTTGGCCGTTTGTATTTCAGGTTAGTATTCACAGAGAGTCTGGTCTAGTACGCATCGGACATTTAACATTTTGGGGAAAACGTCAAAATACAATTTTGAATTCAGGTCAAATAGTCCCACCATCGGATCTTAACGAAACACCGGAAAAAAAAATTTATGTTCGTATTGGGATAATTAATGCAAATCCCAATTCCACAAAACCTTTGGGAATTGGACGAACCTTTCTTCTAACTAGAGGGAGATCGGAAATATTAGACAGAGAAAAATTCAAGCAGATTTTCGGATTTATATGAGTTTTAAGTGTTATCATCTTAATGTATAACATATCTCCACACCACGCTTTACAAATGGAGCACGATGATACACTATTGTAACTGCGGTCATCGTAAAATAAGAAAATAAACTGATTTATAAACATCTTTTATACTTTCCACTGCTGATCCTGGTTAGTGAATTAAGTGATTCGACGTTAAATTCTGGCTCAGAAATAGTTTAAAATATTACTGACATTGATGGATGGTAATGAGAAATTGATCCTAAAGAATCATTACGGATTTAGAAGACAACTAACTGTTACTACTCAGTTCGATTGCTATTGCATCGAATTTATTTAATAATATGATTTCTTTCTGTGAGTCTCTGGTACTCAGAGATCATTTCTCACAATATATTTTTTGTAGACAAGTTAATCTTGGCAGAAAAGTTTATTTTATACTTCCTACTGCTGGTTTTGTGGAAGTCAGCATCTCTAAACTCCCGCGAATCGGGCAAAAAAGTTAAACTTATAACGTCCAGTTAATAAATGAATAATTAAGAACGAAAAGTCATAAAATGACGACTAATTACCTACCCTTAACAAGGCGTACTTACGACAATGAGTTTGTTAAGGTTATTTATCGTCTCGTCTTGAAAGTTACATTAAAAATTTTCTAGCACTCGCCTGAACAAACATAATCTGAGTTTGGAAAAGTCGTTAGTCTTTTGTTATCTTGATCAGTCCTAAAATCGAATATACTGAATATACATCGGTCTCTTCCAATTTAATAACTTAATTATCAAAATATTGGTGTATCTAATCATTTTCTGTCAGAGACGGATGAGGATTATCGCTTACATCACTTAAAGTTTCAAAATAAGCATATCTGCTTAGCAAGCTCACAGCTAATATCATACATCTTTGTTTCATTAGTTAGTAATTTTCACCTCTAGTTTCTGCTGATTTGTATCAGTGCAAAATGTGACATTCATCTGCTAGAAATTATGTGCCGAATAACGTTTCACAAATTTGGTATTGAATCGGTTTGATTAGGTCGAACAAGAAACCAATGTAAGAATTTTAAAGTTAGATGAATAACGTTTACATTTTTCCATACATTCTCAGCTAGCATCAGCTTCAATATCGATTCTGTTCAATATAGGGTTGTGGAGATTGTTGAGTTTCACTGAAGTCGTGAACTGGCCTTAGTGAGACCGTCCGGTGCTTCCAGGTTTTCAGTGGTGGTCTAACTTAGATCGGTTCATGATTTCAACTAAACAATTTGTTGTCTGCCATAGCTCTCTCTTACCGACACGGTCTCATTGACTCACCATACTAAATCCAAATAGATTTGTCAACTCATATTTTGTAATATCAGTAAGGAATATTTATCTGGTCACTTAATTTTCGAAAACAGCACACAAATAAAAATAAGTGGTCGACTTCTAGTGTTTCTTCCCAACTTGTTACCTATGACTGTCTACCACTTTTTTGAATATAGTCTCATAGTTCTGGTTTGTATCATTTTTGTTTTAAGAGGAGATTATCAAAAATATAATAGGACGATTGATTTTGAAGTTTATTGCATGATGAGAATATTTTCCTTCATTGGTGTTATTTAATCCTGGCAAATATACATTATGCCTCTGGAATAAGATGTTGGATTTAGTTTTACGATGAACCTCATTACCAGTCCAATAAGGTATAGAAGAATAAAGTCATCGAAAATACGTAATCTTTTTTATTATCAAGATTTGTACACTTTTTTCGATAACCGTTAAAGATATAGGCTTGCACAGAAAATGATATCTCTTTTGATTAGGATTACGGCTGGAAGAAAAAAAAAGTTTATATATATATATATATATATATATATATATATATATATATATATATATAAGCCTATTAAGAAAAACACAAACGTGTCCAGCAATACTGTACATCTTAACAAATTAAAAGCGGTTCACAATATTTTACGTTAAATATTTTCACTGTTATGAGCACTGTTTGTATTACTTTGTTCATGAGACATTTATAAATAGACTACATTCACTCTAAAAACGATCAGTGAAATTGTATGAAGGTGAATAATTCGCCTATGAAACTAACACTAGTTAGAAATGATTTTATGTTATGTTGTTTTCTGAAATATTGACTGCTTGACGAAATAAGAAAATTACTAAAATTATACATACATTTTGAAAAATATATAGTATTACCAACTTAGATAAGTGTAATTTACGATCATTGTAGCTTAAATGTTATTATCATTAACTCCAGCATTTTACTTGGATTTTAAATTGTAAAACATGTACTATAAAACGTGCATCACAAAAGAAGGGAGAAACATACCTTCTAAAAACTTATTTTCCAACTCCGAGTTTCCTGCAACTTTGGCTGCATTATGCATTTGACATAGTAGTTCTTCCAGTCTTCTGATGCATCTAATTACACTACCTTCGAATGCACTTGTCAATTCACAAAGCCGAGAAAAACTGACACCTTCAGCCCAAGCACATACAACATCCATTAAATCACCGACAAAACGATTAACATAAGCTTGCTCGTCATCCGAAAGACTATTTCTATTATTTCCAAGATTCTCAACCAAAGTCGTTGGTTGTTTCTCATTATTACTATGATCCGTGTTAATATTACATTCGGCAGACATTTTTGCAAGATATCTTGCTTTATCCTTTAAAGATTCATAATATGCAAGATTATGTTACTAAAAGTACTAACAAAATTTGAAGTGGGAAAGGTGACAAACAGTAGGAAAGCCGAAGTCATCAAAAGTAAAACTTCCATAAATAATCTGATGTTCGTTAATACCTGTTGACATGACAGAAATTCACCAAATGTCCGAGGACTAACATCACTTCGAGTTATCAAATCATATCAGTTGTGGCCCCGGAAATTCCTAATCTAGATTTTATTGTTACGGCACCTCATTTCTAGGATGTGCACAACCAAGCAGCCTTGAACGTCCTAAAGTGTAAGTCATATTTCTCGCAAGCTACACTGCATTGGTCGAGTTCGTGTATTAGTAATAAAAACGGTTTTATAGTGAATACTGATGGAAAAGCGATTCCTGAAATTTCAGGAGCAATAATTTATTTGATATCTTCAAATATAGTCATTCAGTCAGCTACAACGTAGGACCAGGCATATATATGCATCGGAACAAGTTGCCATACCTCATTAACACGACAAGATGAACACCGGATTCATGAAAGTAGTGGTGATAATATATAAGGGAAAGATAGCACATAAGGATATAGCACAGGAAGAAAGAATTAGTTCGTAGAAAGAAAGATATGAAGCGATTTTAATCTCTTAGTTTGAGGGCAGACAGAGAGTGTATACACCGACGCCATTGTGATCGATTCTGAGCCATGTCACCAAGAGTCTCCAACCATTGGTTACGATAGTCACGCGGACCCCAACCAAGTAGTCTGCATCTCCGAACATGGCTCAGACTACAAGTTAGTGACTTCAAGCACTGATGCCACGTTTTGGTTTGGCCGCCCCTAACTTTCTTCCAACCATCTCCAACACCGGTTAGCATTGCACGTCGTGTTAATCGGTGTTCGGGCATACGTAACACGTGGCTCAACCATCTCAGTCGATGAAGATTCACAAGCTGATCAACTGATTTACCATCATTCCCTAATACCCTGCGTCTAACCTCACTATTACTTATCCGGTGATCCCAGCAGACGTCAGCAATATTTCTGAGGCATCTGTGGTCAAATATTAGTAGCTTACGAGTACCTTCTACTTTTAATGGCGACGTTTCGCAGCCATACAAAATATATCGATTGTATGTGATTGATTGAGGACACATCCATAACTACCAGGAAAGTCCTACTCATTGCCTTTTCGCGGCGATGTTGTTTACGAAATTGAAAGGACGAAAAGAGAATGTCCGGCAATTTAACCGGGCCGGTGGACATGGAGAGTTCACCTAGGGGAGTTGGAAAATCCTGATTTCAAGCCAGTAGCGCAGATGGGCTCCAGTATCCTGAGGAAACAAAAGGCGTATGAACCCATTGTTGGTCACCAGATACCATGGGACTGCATCTCCTAAAGTTGCTCCATTGCCTTGTAGACCAGACCTTTATGTAAAAGGCTTTGGGTGTGGCTTCTTAAGAAAGCCATCTACATCGGTCTGAGCATCCAGTCAGCATCCCAGCTCACACACATCAAGTGACTTGTGTGGTGCACATGTAATCGGTGCCGCTTTGTACCAAAACTAATGTGACCACATAAATAAACCGATCAACTAATTTGAGCTTACGTCTGCTAAGTTTCAATTAGTGAATACTGGTGAGTTTATCATTAATAGCAATGAAAAACGTACGTGGATACTTTTTATAGCCTTCTTCATGGCAGGACTCAGATTTATTTTGTGATGTTTTGTTTGTTTTTCTGCTACAAAACATGACATGACACCTGCTAGTTGAACTGGTGAGAATTGTGAAAAGAACCCATCCAGAAGTAACTCAGTCAGTACCAATTCATCACCAGTTGAAATTTCACAGGCGATACGACCTTTTAATGCAATTGTATCATCCTCTGAACAAAAACAAAGTCTTCGCAAAAGTCTTTTCCTTGCACGCAACTCGTCAAAATGTGAAAGTGAATCTGTTCTGTTTATACGTTCACGAATGTCTTCGAGTTTCCTCAAATTCTGTAATTAAAATAAATGCACAAGGGATGTAATATATGGATACTTTAATATTTGATTATAAAGTGATTAAAATATTCCTCAAAGTGAAGAAACGCAGAGTGAAATGAAAATGTATTACATAATTACAGAATCAAACGCTAGACAACTCTTAAAACATTATCTGAAAAACACAGATGATGTTGTGTGCAGAGATGATTATTACATCCTACTACTAACTAAATAGCATTGAAAGCATTTTGAGAATAAGTCAACAAGCTAAGAGAAACTGATAAACAAGCTTGTATTAAAAGTTCGACAATAAAAATTTCGTACAATCCATTATTGCTGAATAGTTTAACAATCTTCAGATCTTACTCAAAAAAAGTATATTTACTGTAAATCATTAATAACGTATAACATTTGGATAGGAAAGATTTTGCTTCATATTAACTTGAGTCTTTCTTAGCAGTATCTATGTTCTCATCAAGGCATTAATTAACAGAGGTCAGCTATGAAGAAAAGATTGTTTCTTATTTTGATAGTTATCTGCTAATCATATGATAGAAATATGATAACGTTAGATTTTCAGATTTAAATGATACCAGCAAAACACAGTAGACGTTCAACTAAGAAAAAACACTAATTATGATACACTAAATCATCCAAGGAAATAAAACACGACGCTACAAACCTATATTACATCCTTGAAAATTAATCACGACTGCAGTGTGGAGAATATTTACCCTAATTTTTAGAATAAAATAAAAAACGGAAAATATTTGAAACACTTACAGTAGCTTTCCAATTAAAACGATCAATAAGACTGTCTAGATCAGCGCGTTTTGAGATCGGATTCATGGCCATTCGTGCTTTCAATAAATTAATCGTCTATAATGAAAAAAAGTTCCTTTATTTTACCTGAGTAAATAATTATTTAAGTAGATGCTTGAAGTTATATTGCACCAAGCAAATCATGCGCTGAAGATTTTCTTTACATAACATTTAAGTCTTTTGAACTCGTTATGTAATATCAACCAGACGACATTTAATACTTTAAATGTTTCTAAATGTGTAAATATAATTAAGTGTTGAAAAAAAATTAATCCTGGCAATACAAGTGAACTAAACTAACAATAAGACAGTCTCTCCGAGCAACGTAAGTGGTTAACAGAATAGATTAAGTCCTAAAGCAAGTTAACACCACACTGTGATTTACTACACTGGGACTAAAACCAAAATGACGATAAATTTTTCGACGATTTTGAGCTGAGAAACAATTTAACTAGTCAGGTGATTGAACCTAATATTGTATGAAGTGATAATAACAGAAAATATTATAGGTGAATTTATCGTTTTTACCGACTACTAATTAATGTTGCCTCGTACAGCTGTCTCTGCACTTAATAAATATGGAATACAGTTCAAGACTAAAGCATATACATATCGACATCTGCGGACTACAAGGCGAAATTTACTATAATTGCGGAAATATTCATTCTACTGGTCCAACCCAACATTTTCAGCGAAAAACGTGCACTGCTTAAGAAAGATGACATTAGACAACATTTCCGACTCGTTAATTAAAACATACTTGTCAGTGAGACTATGTCGGATAGAGATGGGACCTTTATTCACTCTGAGTCTAGGAGATTATACTCACGGGCAGAATATTTCAAAGGACATTTCGACTTTCCAGCACTTATATTCCAGCTACCCACTATCTCACAAAAACATTAAAAGCGAATATCCCCAAGTCACTAAACTTTTAGTGAAGTTAAAAAGACTATAGTTAATCTAAAGTGAGCGTAAGTAGGAGGCCCTGATGTATTAACCTCTGAGATCTTTAAGGATAGAGGTCTAGTTTAGGCAGCTAAGCTGACAAATACTATTAAGAGTTTCTGGGCTCTCAGTAACTCCTGATTAAACCTGAGGGCTGGCTGTTCCGGTTTATAGGAAGAGACAAAAATCGTCTTGTAATAAACCAAAAAAAAGTTTGACTACGTATTTAAATTACTAATCACTAAAATCATCCGATACTTCATCAGAGCTTGTGAAGAGCAAATCAGGAAAACTAGGCTGGTTTTAGACCTGAATTTGGATATTCAGATCAAATATTTGCTCATCGCCAGATTTCAGAACACAAGCATACTTACTAACGTCCAATTACAGTTGTACATCTTGATCTTAAAACAAGCCCATAGCTGTTACACTGATATCGTAGCCAAGGCGTGCCTACATGACGACCCCGTCGAGCTACATAGGCTGAAACAATTGATTTTACCATTTTAGGCAAGTCGGTTGCAAAATGTTACGACTAAGACAGGAATTTAGAGTCCGAGAACGAAGTAGTACTTATGACTGTACTGGGTTATAACGGGTTTTCCTCTCATACAATTAGCGTTTGCCGTGATGCCGCTTCCAAACAACGGAAGTAGTTAGAATGAATCGACTCTAAAAACGTCACACTTTTTCTTATCTCATAGGTTTTCATCCCCGTCAGTGAGGCCTTTAGAAGAACGAAATGACAACTGTCCACACATCTCGAACAACACTCGAGATTCTCCTGTTCATTTTCGAATCCCTTTTTCACTACTTAATATTTATTCCACCTATTCTCTTATGATTTTATCCACACCCACCACTAATGCTAACGATTCGAGTTCACGAAATGCTATTCCTGGCCTCTTAAAAGCGCATGTTGGGGTTTCAACGTTACAACCTTACGTCAAAACAGATTTCATTAGCTAGAACTACAGAATATCGCGCTGTCTTTGAAACCCACATACAGGATTTAATGGTAGTCATTCACTTGACCCCACCTAGTCAGAATAAAGAAAGGCTATAATCTACTATTTGTGTGTCTGGAGACTCGACCGGTAATTCTTGTGACCTTGCTAGCGTTTGGTGTATATCATAGAGTTCCAAAACAGAATAGGTTCTCCTGGTCTAGATTCCGATATACAATCGCTTATGAGCAGTATGACTAGACGGGACAGTAAGTACAAGGAAGGGTAAGGATACACGTTGTTATCTCTGCCTACAATCCCACTGACTGTGGCTATAAGGAAAATGAGTTTCATAGAAAGCCAAACGCTCAGCCGTAACTGTAGAAGGAAATATACTACAGTCTACCAACCTCATACAGAATTTCTTTTCGAAAGTTAATATTCTAGCTGGAGCATATGGTGGGCTATCATCAGAATTTTTGCCACTAAGTGTCTGTAAGGATTGTTTAGCCTGAACAACATTAAAACACCTATGGCATAAATTCAGTATTCACAACACCCCCATCGGCACCCGAATGCCCTGGTACGGCCGAGAGTGGGGAGATTCCGCTCTCCCTCTCGAAATACTCTCACACGGCCACGCGTATACAGCCTCTGCCAGGGAGGTCCTACTCACTGCCTTCTCGTGGCGACGGTGTTGTTTACGGGAATGATTATTATTATTATTATTATTATTATTATTATTATTATTTTCCACATTATTCACCCTCTTTTACACTTATACAGCGGCTCGTCTTTGGTGGAAATTCGACTCTATCTAAACGTTCTCGAGTCACTGTCCGGTTGAAAATTGTATGTTACCAATGAATATGAGTACTGGAGCAGTTTTTCTGAAACCACGTGCACCATTCAAACAGGCTGCCTTCAACGTTCATACACTTATGCAGGTTGGACAACAGATAGGGCTGGTTATGTCTTTAGAGAGTCTTAATATCGATGTCTGCTGTCTATCCGAGACCCGTATTCAAGACTCTGGTGAAGTACTACAAATTCGCTCTCCATCTGTCACTTCAAAAAGCTTGTTTTACGTGCGTTTATCCGGGGACCCTATGGCATCTTCGTCTGCTCTTGCTGGCGTTGGTGTCGCAGTGCGGTTAGACAGGGTTGTCCAATCTCACCATTCCTCTTCAACTTTGCCATCGATGACATTCTGGAAACAGCTCTGATGAATGTAAGTAATGGTGGTGTGGATCTGTTGCCTGGAGAAAGACTTCTCGACCTTGAGTATGCGGACGATATTGTCTTACTGTGCGATAATGCCCAAGGCATGCAATCCGCACTTAATCAGTTGGCAATCAATGTCCGTATGTACGGTATGTGCTTTGCATCTTCGAAGTACAAAGTACTTTTACAAGACTGGCAGGATTCTGATCATGTACTCACTTTGGGTGGTGAGCAGGTAGAAGTAGTCGGGAATTTGTGTACCTGGGTAGATGCATAAGTGCTGGTGGTGGCGTGAGTGATGAGATCAATGCACGTATAGTGAAAGCCAGAGCGGCTTATGCCAATCTGGGCCACCTTTGGCGCCTTCGTGATGTTAGTCTGACTGTAAAAGGTCGAATCTACAACGCGTCGGTGAGTGCAGTTTTACTCTATGCTTGTGAAACCTGCCCTCTCCGAGTTGAGGACGTTAGACGACTCTGTGTTCGATCATCGCTGTCTCCGAAGGATTGCTGACATCCAGCGGCAACACTATGTCAGTAATGAAGAGGTTCGGCATCGTGTGTTCGGGCGCAGAGACGATTGTTCAATTGGTGTCACGATCTCGAAACATCGACTTCGGTGGCTTGGACATGTCCTACGAATGTCGTCCCAGAGAATTCCACGTCGTGCATTATTTGCCGACTCTGGGACTGGTTGGAAGAAGCGGAGAGGTGGTCAGTGTATGACATGGTGTCGTGGTATGAAAGGAAGCTGCAAAGGACTGTCTTCTGTCGGTCCTTCACGACTCCCTGGTTGGGGTCTGAGAGATGGTGCAACACAGTGGCTAGAGACGTTATCAGATATGGCTCAGAATAGAAGCCAGTGGCGATCCTGCTGTAACCTTCTTTTACTTTCTTCATAAAAAGTGGTTGTATCTTCCTTAACTGAAAGATTTTTTTTGATTGTACCTTTGCGTTCCCTCATTACTACCACACTACCTTACACCAATCTCTTCGTTATTGTTCTCTTTTTTTTCTATTTCTCTTCGAATTCTCATTGTTTTGTGTGGCGCATATATATTGGCGCTCTCTTGTACCAATATTTATGTGTTCAAATAAATAAAAAAATACACCCCCATCAATTATGAAACATTTTTAACTTCTTACCAAAATGACGTAATCGGCTGTCATTATTTTAAGATGGATATTAAAGTTAATAATATGTGCAGAGATTTTCTTTTTATTAAGAATGAGTCCTAGTAACCGGTCGCGGTTGTAGCTAGAGATAACTGATTTGTCAGAGTGCTATAACTTTAGATGTTTGGATAAAAGTGTACCCTTAGACATATTGAACACGTTTTGATAACACTTGAACCACTACTACTCTTCTAAATGTTTATAGTTAGAATTTGTTGTTAAGATTGAAGAATACAAATCACTATCGCTTCAATGAAGGTCGGGGAGTACAAAAGGAGAAGTAGAGAAAAATCGCTTATGAACGTAAAGACAGGAGTCAATGATGGATTTAAACTACGGTTCTCGGCTTCTGCTCAAAGCAGATGAATGAGATAACTTGACTGGAGTGATAAATACAATAAATTGTTACTAAATTCAAGAAATTAAAATATTTGTTTAAAGTGAACTTCATTGGACGACTAGACAACTACGTTTTTGATTGATCATAGAGGCAAAGGGACAGGGTAAATCGAACAAATTTCACATCCATAAAGATTTTGTTACCTCTTTTTGTGGTCACCCTAATTAATGTTTAGACCTATTGATGTGCACCTTTTGTACTCGCTTTCATTGACTTTTGCCAACTTGTATCCCTTTGATGCAGGGAAGATATTCGTTTAGCAACTAGAGAGTGACAATTTACTCTGCTATTGTATATTCGAAATAAATTATTACAATACGTTAAATGAACTGAAATTATAATGTGCTTAATGACATTAGTGAGAACGCATAACCTATAGAACTATAATACAACTGCAAGCATAAACAACACATACATCACGAAAATACTCTTCGTTAACAATAATCTATTTTTAAAACTCACTTATGATAAATCGTGCGTCATAAACTGTTCCGAATAAAATTATACAAATTATAATGGATACCTTAGTATTACAACCAAAAGTTTGAATTGATGTTCAAACTAACCTCGCACTGCTGTTTCACACGATCGTCTTTAATATTTAAGTCCTTGATAGGATCTAATACTGGTAGTACTCCTCCTAATTTTGCTTTGGCACGATCAACGCCTTCCCAAATACGTCGTTTTACATGATCAGGTTGAACTGAAAGCTTGTTAAATAACATTTCAGTATTCTGATTGTCACACTCCAATAATGAATTTAGTTTGAGACAAACGCTTGAAATACCAGACAAACAATCTAGAGGGACAGAAACTAACTGAATAACCGATGTAAAAGTATCAGTTTGAAAATCAACACCATCAGCAGGTTTCACAGACGAAAAAGGAATCGGTTTTCTTGTATAATCTGAATTTCTTAGGATGCGGTCTTCAGCCACTTCCATAAGACAAATGACTGACATTCTGTCGGATTTTTGATGCACAGACCGATCTACGTGCACAACAATTCCCCATCCGAAGTCCCAATCGTCCAGATTGCGAATCTAACCAAAATACAAATAGTTTACCTTTGTTTATCGATAGAGAATAAGAAATGAACTTTTAAATCAAGTTAGAACACTTTAATCGTAAACATACTCGAACCACTCTACCAGCCTGAAAGAAAGGTATGACACTTTTTCTTTGTGAAACTAATGCCCACCTCTCAGATTCACATACGGCAACTGCATGATGAAGTTTAACATAAGCGCCAAGCTGTTCCATATCAATATCGTCCGGAAAACAAATATTTTTGATAAGAGATTCTGTGTCATTTAAACCTGAATATCAAACAGGAGAAAATGTGAAAAAGACAAAATCATCCTGAACTTAACATATGAATCATGTTAATTCAATGATAAATAACTTGCTTAGGATTGCATTAATTCGGGCTAGTATCAGTAATAATCAATTTACTCAAAGGATTCAACACTGGTCTCAATGTATCTTACTGAACAATAGAAATGTCAGTTAGGTGAGTAATGACAGTTAACTCGGTAGTATATACGAATAATAGATAAGAAAATAAGGAGTTGCAATCGGAAGTAGAAAAATTACTAACTGTTCAGACAACAACATAAAATAAAAAGCGTAATGTCATGTTAAAGTACTCACACTGACTCAATAGTTCAATGTAGTTAGAGTTTGTTATTCTATTTTAGTAAACATGAGATATTTTAAACCAGTTTTACTGGCTGATCTGCTATTCTATTTTCCTGATTTTTAAAAGATATACTCTACTCCTTCATATGGCTATTTATCTAACACAGATAATAAGTGTATTACACTCTAACTGGTTTCCTAAGTACACATGCAAGCACGACCGATGATCACTGTTTATATGAAAAAACTCAACTAAGATATGAGAGCGCGAAGAATCACGGCAAAGCTAAATGGTAAATGATTCTGAAATGTGAAACCAGTAAGTCAGTTCGAATAATCATACACGTCGACGTAAAATATTGCGTAAATTTTCGCCGCAGCCGAGTTTTATTTGGACGGCTCAAGACATTTTGGGACTGCTACCATATATTTGGAAAAAGCGAATTATCTAGAAACGCAATGAGATCTAATGTAAAATGAGTGCTACATTGAAAGCAGCCGTACCTTTTCTGAGGACGCGTAAATGTAATAAAGTGAATTCGTTGTTAATCATTCTCTTAAGTTAGTTAATATAAAAACCCTTATACAGAAATCTTATGTGAAATTAATGTCATAAAGTCATACTGTTATGAAGCTGTTTGTCATACGAAATAGTTTGAAAGTCTCTTCTGAAATCTGTGAATTGATTCAAAACTATTCTACTTATTTAAAACTGGGAATTATCAAAACGAACAATTAAATGTTAATATTAAAGCCTACCGCATCATAACAATAACTGGTATTACGTTCGCTAAATAAACGCAATAGCTAAAAATCATTAGTAACAACAAGTATATATACAATGTCGTTGAAATAAACTTTAATACTCCCATATTTAGTGCAGGTATGCAATTAGTGGAGACAATTTCTACACAGAAAACCCATCAATGTTGAGATATACCAACAAGTAAATGAAAATACATCACCGAAGCACGAGAGAAATAAATAAAGAACTTTCACCGTCAGAAACAAAGGGTTTTGCAGTCATGTAACCCGTATTTAGTTTGTCCTTATCCCTTTGACAACTAACATTCTTAGATTGTGCTAATAAGAGATGTGATATGTTAGACAGGGACCTACGATGTCGTTAAAAAACTGCTGAATACAGTATCCACAATCAAACAACGACAAAGTAGATTAGTAAAAAGACTATTCATAAAAGTTTGTTGACTGGTGAGTAAACTTTAGTGACATTCGTCTCACAGAGCCTTATATATGAAATTAGTGCATAGTGGTCATATCACGCAGTACTTAATCTCCCAACCTTTCTATAATTCATTTACCGTTGCCACGGTTAGACTTAACAGAAGAGTATAATGTAATTATCACTCATGAACAAGGCCGAGGGTGGGGAGAGTCAGCTTTCCTTCTAAAACTGATCCCATATCGCTACGCGTTAGGGAAGTCCTACTCACTGTTTTAAGAAATTTGAGGGGACAAAAAGCGAGTGTCCGGTGTGTTGGGGACGTTAGATCCCTAGAGCTCACTTGGAAAAGGTCCTAATTTTGTAATTTTATTTCGAAAATTTGAATTACTTTGTTTTCGCGCCAAAAGCGCTCTTCTCACCTTCATGTCGGATTTCCCACTTGGGAGAACGCTATTGGTCGGTTGTGTCTTTTAGTATGCTATTTTATAACGCTTTCCAAGGACGGTTTTGTGCTGTATATATACGTTTTGATTTTTGTCTGTTGTTATACCTCGTTCTTCTGGCTTTTTGCGAAATATACTTCCCCATTCGGACTTCGACTTCTCTCTCTAGTTAGCGGGGCTGGGCGCAACAAAATAGCTAGTTTATTGGTCTTTGGTCACAAGTCTTGGTTCCGTTCGCAGACTAAGTAAACTCGTAACAGCTTCAACATAGCGCAGTGCTTTAACAGGGTTGGTCGACACAGAGGGTTCACCTAGGGAGTTGGAAAAGCCTGATTTCAAACCAACGGTCCATATGGGCTCCAAGATTCTGAGGGAATAAATGGTGTATGAACCTATGTTGGTCACCAGCTACCATGGGACTGCATCCTCTAACATTGATCTACTGACTTGTGGATTAGACCTCTGGGTCAAATGCCTGACTCTCATCCTGACCACTGTAATTTAGTATTGCTTATATCAATAATTTAATTTTATTGACGCAGCATTTATATATGTATAAGCAAATCAGCCTGAGATACATTACTGTTAATTAACTTTAACTACTTATATACTTTATTTTCTGTGGTTAGTTAATAAATACATGTTTCTCTAAAATAGATTTAAAGCTTTTACCATCATATTTGCAAAAACTTACTATTTGTTTTAGTAGTCTAATACAATTTAAATAAAATGCATTGAAGCAAGAATGATAAATGCTGGATAGTTTTAAACCGCTGTTTATTTATCTTCTATCTGTAGTCTTAAACTGAATGGTTTAAACATAAGAATTAGTAAGATAAAAAAACAAAACGGTAAATTTATACTACCGAAATAAAGAAACTGTCAAGACCTACGTTTTTCAAGATAGGGCAATTCAGACCTGCATTGAAATTGCTGAAAATTTTTAGCGAGCATTATTTCTGGATTGATGTCCTCAACACGAAGTAAATTAAGTATCATATTATTCGTTAGATAGAATGAAGAATCCAGTCGGTCAGGTTCACCAAGTAAGAGTTTTCTGGCTTCATCTGCACTAATACGATCATCAAGCATCATTATAACTGTGCCACGAGTATCTTTTCCTCGACGACCTGCGCGTCCTGACATTTGAATATATTCCCCAGATGACAGTAAACGGAAGTCGCGTCCGTCGAACTTCCGAGTAGACGTGAATAACACAGATCGAGCCGGCATATTAAGACCCATAGCGAACGTTTCGGTAGCGTACAGTACCTATATTACATGACAGAACTTACTTTTAACGGAAACAGAAAAGTACATCAAAAAACTTAAAGTTAGTAACTATGGGCTATTAACTCCAAACTCTAAATTTGCCTGATATTCTTCTACCACTTCTGCCGGTCCCTAGCCTGAATAAAGGAGGTCAGCAACCATACGCAGTAAAGAAAAACGCTAACCAGAAACTACTTACACTCTGCCCTGAGAGTTGAAGGATTTTTATGTAGAATAGTTTTGACACCTTATTTTTTTCGGACGTCACGAAGCCGATACCCATTCTGAAAATCAGAGTAACATCTAAGATAGAGACAGACTGTCTAGACAATGTCGGAAACCGTTTAAAGCATTTAAATAACAGTGGAAATGAGAAGATAAAGTCTGGCTATGACAGAAATAAGTGACACGCATCGAACACAATGTGGACAAAAAAGATCAAATTTAGGAAAGGTCCTGTTATGTTCTGATCACAAAGAGGAACGTGCCACACATACGATGGGGTTGTACTGATGCTTTCCAAAAACTTGCTTCTAGGATGAGAAATCGACGGCTTTAAAATTATTAAATTATCCTTCAGAACAAAGGAGAAAAATATAACAAATGTTATTCAATGATATGCACCTACTAATTATGGCAGAGATGGTAAATATCCATTTTATAAGAGACTGCAGTTCGTCGTAAAGAAATTTCCAGGAAAATACTTGATCATTGCGATGTGGAAACTGAATGTTAAGGTTGGGATAGACAGTACTGGGTATGAAGCATTACTATGGAACATGGACTAGGAGAAAGGAGTGAGAATGGCGACAAACTAGTGGATCTATGTGCATGCAATTATAAAATTTTGACGGTAGCAAGGAGATGTAGCAGTCAGTCAAGAACAAAGAAGACAAACCAATAACGAAGGTTGAAGAGTGAAGGAACAAGTGAGTAAAGCAATTAAAAAATCCACACAGCTGAACTCTCTGGATATTCATGCAGTACACATGAGCCTCCCTAAACATAATACCCCACCAATGAGAAGTGATTAGCAAGGACATCAGATAAAACGATAATGGGAAAACAAAAGGATCAGATGGTATACCATCAATTTTCCGTTGATGGTTTACTAGCCAATAATGAATATATAACAGTTAGTAACACAAGTACCCTTACATTACGATAAAATGAAAAGAACCGCGTACTTAGTACAAAAACAAAAACTTACTTTTATAAAACCTTCAGCGAATAACACTTCAACAATTTCCTTGAGTATAGGCAACAGTCCACCATGATGTATACCTATTCCACGACGTAAAACGGGCAGTAAAATTTGAACCTGAGGAAGATTTCGATCGTCAACGGAAAGACTCTCAATGGCATTATTAAACACAAGTTCAATAGCCGCCTTTTCTGATTCTAACAAAAAAGGTAGAAAGTTGGTTTGGTCATAAAATCGGTAAAATAATTTTTTGTGATATTTGCTGACTATATGACACTATCATACATGGACACCTTAAAACAAACCACTGAGTTCCTGTTGTGACTTTATGCCCGGCTAATTCAGCTAATCGAAATGCAACCGATACTATCTTAGTACTGTGTTGAACCAACAACGTTCGACCGGTATGAGCTGTAGGATTTAATTCGTCCTACAGATATACTAGTAGAACTGTAAACGCGATAATGGTGGTCCCAGAGTCTATGTGAAAGCTATAGTCAGAACAAAGACAACTTGACTGTAAACTTTATATTTTTAAACGTAGAAACAATTAGATTGGTACAATAATTAAAGGAATTGTAGTCATCAAGTGAAACGCGCAAACATACAGACCAGATTATTCTGTCATTAACTAGCTTTATGAGTGGCCGATTGTTTAATATTACTTCAGCCTCTATTAAAAACGTTTCCAAAGACTCGTCCGTCAATACCTTCTGAAACAGTAGTGATCGTACAATTCTTCTTATTGACTTTATGATGCGTCCCCGTGCACTGCCTCGACGACTAGCTCTGGGAAGGTTAAAGCGCCATTCACAACCTCTTTTTAAAAGGGCATTTGCAATCTTATTCTGGTCCCAACCACACATAATCTGTCTCAGACTAGCATTAGCTCCTTTAAAGCTACCAGATTCATCCTTACTCTTATTCACAACCCGTACAGAGGAGCCTTTCTCAAAACCACAGAGAATATGTGCTGCCTGCTTCTCCAGGATCTTAGTTACTAACTTCTTTGTTACAATGGCCTTTGGCTTTTTCGGCGTCTCGACTTTCGGCTTGGAGACCTTCTTTTCCTTAGGCTTTCTTTGAGTGAATTTAGGTCTATTAGCGGATGGTGCTTCAGTTTTCGGCTTAGCGTCAACAATTTTTTTCGGCCACTTGTCTCTGTGCACGCTTAGCACCTCCCTCAGTACGGAGTTGTGTATTGATGTGGACATTATTATTGCCGTCTCCCTGTTCTTCCTGTGTAGCAAGGTATGGTGTTTCCAGCCACATCCTTCGACGGTACATGACCTTGGTACTCGATAGTCTCTTGTTATGTGGTCCGTCTTCAGACAGACATTACACAACTTCTTTAGTACAAATTCTATCCTTTCATTAATATCCTTATCTCTAAACTTTTCACATTGGTCTAAAGGGTGGTTTTCAGTATATAATAAACATAACAACTCAAGAGTGTCCCGTCTTACGTGTGGAGGGACATCAGATTTACTCGTGCTGGCGAACGATACTCTCGCTCTATACTCTGAGTCGAGGTTTCTTTCAGTAACAATAGCCGGTTGCATTTGGTTGCGATTAGAAGGATCTGTATTGACAAGTAATCCGTATCTGGTATTAGCAATATCCGACTGCTTTTTCACAAATTCACAAAGGTCCTTAAATAAAGGCTCTCTACCCGTCTTAAGAATTTTATATGCCACTTCCACCCATTCTATTTGTAAGCATAGTGGGAGTTTTAAAAACATACATTCGATAGACTCTGTAGAATTCAGATCGGATACATAGTTCATCTACGTGAGTGTTAGCTCACAAATATGCATCTCACGAGACAGTCTTCTTAAATTATCTGAACCAGTCCCCTTAATAGCAGGGATGTTTAGCTTGTTATCAATAAATGCATGAGCTACTATGTGCTACTGACTGAATGATTCCTCGAGAAGCTCTAACGCTTTACGTCAGCCTTCTTCTGGTTCGGGCGATTCATAATGAACAATAGTAGTCTTAGCTTCACCATCACAATACTGAATCAAATAGTTTAAACTAGATCGGAATCCAACGCTTTAATCGAAGCAGTCTTCGAAATTCCGTGTGAAACTCCGGTAGTTCATGGGATTAACATCAAGCCTTATGATCTCTCTCTTTCGTAGGTCTAAAGCTTCAGATATCATTGTTATCCAGTCCTTTCCAGGAGGAACATTAACTCCACATGAAACAGATACAGACTCATACGATATCACCTCATCAGCCATAGCCTGATTACAGTGTTACCTTACCCTTTGACGTAATCTATCCACTCCAATTTCTCCTTCTATCCGAGCTAAACGTACTTTAACTAATTCCAGCTCTAACAAGGGATCTATTCGATAGCCGTTTCCTTTAATTGGTCATCAATATAAGTTCCTGTATAATGGGGGAGACAATTCAAGAATCTGAACGGTCTTTCAATTCTTCTCCGTAAACATTTGACAGCACTTAACGTAAGAATTTCTGGTGAGATACTGGTCAAAACTTTGTAGGACTTAATTTGTCCTACAGATATACTACTAGAAATGCCCACCATTCCCGAACATCCTGAATGGAAAATTGAAGTAGGAGTGTTGTATATTTAAGTTCGGCTAATTATCACGTGATTGATTCGCCAATCGAAATGCGAATTATACAATCTTAGACCAGTGACGTTCGACTGATATGAGTAGCCTAGCGTCCTTATTGGTCCTTTGTTCTCCTGGCCCTTCCAGTTGAGTCCAGAACGCCAATAACAGCTTCCACTATGTGAATCATTTATTTCAAACATAATTGGTTTATATACTAGACAAACAGACCACATCAAACCACAAAATAGAAAATAACATTTGTGCAAGATCAAGCTAAAAAGTGGCTGTGAACGTGGAAGACGGTAATCAATAAACTGAGTATAATTTAAGGATAGTAAATCGTATCATAATAGTCTATAGGTCCAAATAAAGCTTGTAATAAGAGGAGTATAGATATACAGAATATATATAATTCCATTAATAGTTCTCAGAAGTTACCCGTGATTTAATCTTTACTAGAATATAACAGTTCCAACAAAACAAAATACTGTTGTCAAGTCATTGGGTTAATACATTTACGTAAGGACTCACAAACTAAGCAAAATTTCATGCTTACACACATAACTGGTTTTAATCTAAAAATCAGACGTCTTCATAAGGTAGCTGGTAGAAAACAAAACTGTCGATCAGGTCCAACCAAAAAATGCTGCTGATTCATACAGACTTTTATTAAACGACCATAAAATCTTTCAGTAATTCCTACTCGGGACGTAGAATAAGAGGTAGGAAACTGTATCTCAACAACTACTACTATCATTATTCGGGCCACATGTTTAGATGTATAAATTTTGGAATTATTGCTTAGTGTTCTAAAAACAGCTAAATTGATTTAGGGTTTCACTGTCAAAAGGCCATCACTATACACAAATGAATGTCGATAAACTTATTGCATTTAGTGTAGTAAATAAATACTACATGTTATTGAATTTATGACTAAGCTCTTATCCAATGGAACATGAAAATAAGTACTGGTTATCCTTACAGGATACCGCGACATTCGCGATTTATGTCGCGCTTTAGGCCTCGACTTTCATCAGTTAGTCATCTATACACAACGTAGACCCTGACAGATAAGTGCACCGGCTCAAATTACCACATCACATTAGCACAGCGAGATAAAATTATCGATATAAATTCTCAGAGTAGTAGAAGTAGTAATAGTATCAGTACCAAAGATTAGGTGTAAAAAAAGAAACAGAAAGGTATAATAGTAGGATTAATGATAAATTTTTAAGATCACAATGAGTAAAAAATTGGATCTAGAAAGTTTCATGCCAACTTAGTGTAAGTCATTTCTTCAAGATTATTAAGAGATCTATTTTTGAAGTCTATATTATTGTAGCATCGTTTACATTTCACAGGACTTCCCAACACAATCTAAATACCCTAATTTGCAGACACAATTTTATGTCGAGCTGGAAGGGGTTTTATATTTTATTTTAACTAAACTATTTTGGACTGTTTTAACTGTCATAGGAAGCTCTAATGATCTGTGATTTGTGGATTCGTTGTAGCTCTTCTGTTATGCTCTGACAGCATGGTACTAATAATAAAAGAAACTGGAATTAATAAGTCAAATGTAAGTCAGACTATTTCGGAAAAAAGATGACACCCTCATCTGCCCCCAGTCCAGACGTTTAGAACGATGTGCGGAACATTTTAGAGAACAGTTCAGCTGGTCTTCAGCTACTCTACAACTACCCTCCATTCCCAGACAGTGTGAATGGAACATTGAAGTAGGTCCCCCAACTGTAGCAGAAGTTCAAAAGGCTATAGTTAATCTGAAGCGAGGAAGGGCAGCTGATCCAGATGGATTGGTGGTCCAATTTTAGCGATTAGGTTGACTAATATTTTAGCTAGGATCTGGGAGTTAGACGTTATTCCATCTAACTGGTCATAATCACTTATCGTCCCAATATATAAGAGACGGTTAAAATCATCCTGTGACAACCATAGAGGGATTAGTTTAACTAATATAGTATCGAAAGTACTAGCCTCGATAATTATCAGACGCCTAACTAAGACTCGTGAACTGCAAACACGAGAGAATCAAGCTGGCTTCAGACCTGGTCATGGCTGCATCGACCATATATTCACCATTCGTCAGGTTCTAGAACATAGGCATACTTATCGACGTCCGACAATGGTGGTCTTTCTTGACTTAAAAGCAGCATTTGACTCCGTAGACCGCGAGAATCTGTGGCAGTGTCTGTCATCGAAAGGCGTACATCAGAAGTAAATAAACCTTGTGAAGGCACTTTACTTGAACACTACTAGTCGAGTCAGAGCTTATGGCGAACTGTCATCTGCTTTTACAACTTCAAGTGGTGTCCGTCAAGGCTGTCCACTTTCTCCATTTTTGTTTAACTTCATCATAGACTTATTGGTGAAAATAACATTCTCGTCTACTGAATTCTCAGCTATTGATCTCCATCCAGGAGGTCTACTTATCGACTTAGAATACGCAGATGATATAGTCCTGTTTGGTGGGGACGCTGATAAAATGCAGTCTTCTGGTAGCACTAAGCAACAATGCCAGAATGTCTGAAATGCGCTTCTCTCCCTCTAAATGCAAACTGCAGCTTCAGGACTGGTCTGCGTCAACACCTGAACTAAGGATAGCGAGTGAAGTAGTCGAACGCGTTGACAACTTCACTTATCTTGGAAGTCTGATCAGCCGTAATGGGTTGGTGTCTGACGAAATCTCAGCACGGATTCGAAAAGGTCGTTTGGCTTTTGCCAGTTTACGTCACCTATGGCGAAGGCGAGATATCCGTCTATCAATTAAAGGACGAGTATACTGCGCGACAGTCCGTTCTGTTTTACTTTACGGCAGCGAAACATGGCCATTAAGAATAGAAGGTACTCGTAAGCTACTAATATTTGACCACAGATGCCTCAGAAATATTGCTGACGTCTGCTGGGATCACCGGATAAGTAATAGTGAGGTTAGACGCAGGGTATTAGGGAATGATGGTAAATCAGTTGATCAGCTTGTGAATCTTCATCGACTGAGATGGTTGAGCCACGTGTTACGTATGCCCGAACACCGATTAACACGAAGTGCAATCCTAACCGGTGTTGGAGATGGTTGGAAGAAAGTTAGGGGCGGCCAAACCAAAACGTGGCATCAGTGCTTGAAGTCACTAACTTGTAGTCTGAGCCATGTTCGGAGATGCAGACTACTTGGTTGGGGTCCGCGTGACTATCGTAACCAATGGTTGGAGACTCTTGGTGACATGGCTCAGAATCGATCACAATGGCGTCGGTGTATACACTCTCTGTCTGCCCTCAAACTAAGAGATTAAAATCGCTTCATATCTTTCTTTCTACGAACTAATTCTTTCTTCCTGTGCTATATCCTTATATGCTATCTTTCCCTTATATATTATCACCACTACTTTCATGAATCCGGTGTTCATCTTGTCGTGTTAATGAGGTATGGCAACTTGTTCCGATGCATATATATGCCTGGTCCTACGTTGTAGCTGACTGAATGACTGACAGCATGGTAGAATTACAGTACCAACCCATGATATTACAACCAATTTATTATTATTCAACAAAAGGACATTTATTCTCTGAAGCGACTCACATCAAGTCATTAAAAGTCAGGAATTCTTTTTGGGATATCAAAAACGTATCATTATTTCATCATTATCATTCCACCAAATGCTCAATTTATTTGGAATTATTCAACCTAACTTATGCAATGATGCTTAAAAGAAATTTCACCTTGGTGTATTTCTAAGAATATTTGCGGGGAAGTCTCACACCATTAGCAAACAAATATTTGTAACCCTACTGTTCCACACTACAAAAACCCTATTTTCTAGATCTCACAATATATACATAAATACACATGTATGTCTCACACAGAAACACCTTGACCGTAATGACATCAGATTGACATAATCAGACCCATTTTGATTTTGGCTCCGATAAAATATTCTACTTCCTATTATTTATACAACTTGTGTTAATTTATCTCTACTCTGAAAAAGTGGTTTATACAAAGTTGCGAAGGTCGGAAATTCAATCTTCCACCTACTTGGTTTTTACGAGTACATTATTATTTCCGTTATTAAAAATTTACTCGATGGTCAACTTATTTAAAATCACCAAGTCAAACGTTGATAATGATACTTAAAGAAGGTATAAGGAGGTTTAGGGATTCAAGAACTAAGGGAAGATAAAACAGTGAATACATCTGAGCCATGTTATCAACAGCTTTTAACCACTGGTTACGATAGTCACGCGGACCTTAACCAAGTAATCCTTACCAACCTACAAAGCTCATTTTAACAGTTAATGACTTCATAAACTGATGCCACGTTTTGGTTTGTACGATTCATAAAAACTGAGTCGCTATAAGTCCCCTAAATTTTATTGAAGTTCACTGAGTAAACTGAGTAGATGGCAGATGCAAATCACTACCAAATATCTTACATGGAAAGTTTAACAAATATTACGCAGGGATGACCATTCATAATGGGTGTGATCAACAAAGATCAAAATCAAAACGTCAGTTGTCTACGGTAAGCCATACTTTCTTCACAAACATTCAGAAAGCAAAGGAACGTTGAAGAACAACACTACTTCTCCAGAGATTGTGTCTATCAATATGGTTTACTTAAACGTATACCCCATAGTACAAGCTGCTACGAGGCCAATGTAGAATTCCAAATCCTGGATAGAATTTGCCAACCATTAAAAATACAGATTTTCGTTCTTCAGTATTATTAATCTACTTGTATCTACGAATTCTCCACAAACGAATATTATATTTTAGATCGGAGAAATTATTGTTTCGGAGTTTTAAAAGCGATGCAGTAACAAAATGTGACACTTACGTGTACTAAAATCCATCTTGTTTAGTTGCATTGCATAGAATTCACAATCCATTTTGCTAAATGAAAATACGATAAGTGGCTCCAAATTTTGGTCCATTACCAACTTGACTAACTTCGAGCAATATGGCTGAGAACCTTAGAAACAAGGCACCAAAAATGAATCACGTAACAATAAACTTTTGTTATAACGATAAGGTCATACTAGCAAATATGACCTTGTGTACATATGCTACAGCCTAAAAGTGACTGGACAACTGTTGATAATAATTTGAAGGAAGAAAACATAATGTGACTGATAGGAGTCAAATCTCAAATAAAAAGGCAATTCACTTGTTACAAAAAATATAGTTTCCGACAAATATTACAATTAACAAGTAATTTAGCGTAAGCAGAGACTTAAATCTGGTACACGGAAACTCATCATGTTCACTGATGTGAAATTGTGTTTATTGGATACTACACCCCTAAATATGACATATGAGTATGACGAGTACAACATTAAGATGAAACAAATGTTCAGTGTTTAGCTGGTATTCAACGACTTAATGCAGACTACCTTCAAAAAATTAGTCGAATATCAGTACACACATTTACTAAACAGTATATTGTAGTATTGTCATTCTGATAATAGTTCATCAACTAATGACTTAACCTCAAATCTTTACTCTATGAATATTGTAAACATTTATTCTGAAGTTTAAAAGTTAACTTGCTTGTTTTGTAAACTAAGGTTTTAATATTATATCAAGGTTAAAACAGAAAACATTAAAATACTTCATTCAAAACATGATTAGACGTAAGATCACTGGGAGAAAAACAACAAGAACATGAGGATTCTTGTTTTTTTTCTTATGAGATCGTGCGTTTTACAGACCTTAGATCAGTTTACAACAACCGTTTCCGAGTTCTGCACTCAATATGTGAGAAAATATGAGATTTCCTGCATGAAAACTTCGTTTCCAGTTATAAGACATGAGTGCGCGATAAATAGAAAAACGCGATTAGAAAGAAATTATTCAACTTACGGGTGCTGCCACCATTACGTCCACGGGACTTCATATCAGAAATCGAATTGCCAGCGGCATTTTGTAAAGTATTTAAAGCAAGATTGAAGTTAGATTCAATAAACTCACGCTGGAAAACAAGCGATTAGAAACGAAACGAAACAACCTGTTAGGGATACACAACAGCAAAATTGTTTAGGGTCAACTGTGCACGTAATCTATTATCTTAACTCTCAACATAAGCACAAGTGAAAAGGAAAAAACAAAAGACTTCTATTCAAGCCTGGTAGTGTAAAATTTCTAAGTTTTACATGATGACTGACTGCTAGAAACTACTTATATGGACATTGAGAGCATCATTCGTGACATATGAAGACGACTGTGTTTTCCCTATAATTAATTCATCTGGATACAGCTTATCATCAAACTCAAAAAATATTACGTAATTGACTAAAAATATAGATGGGTCTAACTGAATTTTTATGATCACATCATCATAGTCAACAATGCATATAGCTACAGAAACAGAATGACTGAATGTTCAAAAAGTTAATAGAATAGTCAGATAAAAATCTATGCCTAAATATCTCCAATTACAAGTTATGAGAAGCAGATCAGTATCGATTAAGTTCCAATTCTACTTCAGTAAGTTATTATTCAGTAAGAACATTGTTTATGAACTTTCAGTACATTTTTTACCATGATTTATCTAAATGACAAAAAGCCAGTTCAAATATTCTAATCACTTTTTAATTGATATGCAATCGAAAAACTGGGTCAACATCAAAATGCTTTGTCCACTAAACTGGTGTTATTACTCAAGTTAGTGAGGAGGAAAAAAGGAGAATAGATATAGTTTCGTTCACAGCATTGAAATTGATGCAGCGAATTATAAACGCAATACACGAACATATCACATAGCAGCATAAACGAACACACGTTAAGAACAAACGGCATCCGACAAACAACAATGAGAGCAAACTTTCGCATGCGGTTTGGATCCTTTATCAATCTGACGGTGTAGAATCAGCTTTGAGATAGCATGAAATTTCATTTTGACCGTCTATATATGGCTATGTGACTATTAGATAAGTACTAGAATTATTAATAAAAGATGTAGTCTAGTACTTCGTCTTATCAACACTAAAGGAACTTTGCCCATTGTTTCAGGGAAGGAAACGAGTTTCCTAATTATCCACATTTAAACTTTCGAATTACGATATTTGGAAAGCAAGGACAAAGAACTGGGCAAAATAATATGAACTCATTTTACGTCGTTAGATTACCATTAACCGCTTACAAACCATATCTTAAAATCAAAATTACCATAGTTTACATACTTAAAAAGATGCACGAAGTGAATATGCTGACTAAGATTGTTATGTCAACGTTGCACAGTATGTAACTTCAGCAAACTCATGATTACTGAACCTTAAAACTGAGAATCAACGGCTCTTCTTCAGAAGACGAGCAATTAAATTTATTTTTGTCAGACAGTTTGTTAATAAACATATGATGATGAGGGTATTCTACTTTGACTTAAAAAGATCCAACTGTCTTCAAAATATTTAGCGAAATGCGTTGTTTAAACTTCTTTAAACTGTAGCTATAAGTACTTAGAAATGAATTGTCAATTTACTATTACTATCAATCGAAAGTCACCACCAAATAAACTTTTAAGATCAACTAAAATTAAAATAGTACTTATCAGTTATATCATTCGGGAGATAAACATTTTCAAATGAGAATATTAAGAAACTTACGTTCTGATTGACTACCAAATGAATTCCATCTCCACCACATGGGTAAACATAGTGTTGTAATGGAACAGGACGACAATCAGTGTAAACAACGTGACAAGGCTTTCTATGTAAAAACACTATCCATTCAGCAAATTCACGAGCATTGGGAATTGTTGCACTCAAAAAGACAAGCCCAACACTATCAGGTAATAAGATGATGGTTTCCTCCCAGATAACACCACGTTCTTTTTCCCTCATATAATGAATTTCATCGAAAATAACCCAGCCAACCTCACGAGTTACATCCGAGCTTCTAGAATATGATGCCAAAGAACAAATAAATATCACTTAATGAGTAACAGGGTAAGTAATACCAATACAATCCACCTATTAAGAGTTATTTCGACTAGGCTGCTTACATGCACCTCATAATGTAAAAATACTGTGAAAAATCAAAATCGACTACGAAACTAATGCGACTTTCCGTTAGTATTTATCATCAAATTAAAAATGATTCGAAACAAACAATATATGGATGATAAGTTTTACTTAGCGCATTTTTGAAGACGTATAGTTCTCATAAATTTTTTTTGGATATGAGCTAGCACATGCTATTTCTCATTCATAGGCCCTGCAGTAAATCAGTACCAACACGTCATCAAGAATTTTAAAAGCCTATTATCGTTTGCTCCTAATATTTCACAAGTGCATTAAAATTGTTACGGAAAGCCATATTCTACATTTTAAAAACTACGAAGTTTAACATTTTATTTCGTCAGTGTTCATCTAGGAATGATAATTTGCATTTGCATCTTTATTGAATATGCTCAAGAAAACGTTTTGACATTAATTAATTGAAATGAAAAATTAACACAATTGATTTTCTTCGGAATTATCATTAGTTGTACTTTAGTCCTAACAAACTGTTTGGATTAAATTACTCGTTCATACTAGACTTGATTACGAAAATTCTAACAGCCACCTTCAAATAATCATACAGACATGAAGTACCTTTAAAAATAAGCGCTGGGACTAAAAAGAATGTAGAGAATACATAAAAGCAAATAGTCAGGAACAGCAAAGAACCTGGCACATATGTGGATCGGTTCACGTTGTTGAGTCATACCAGCACAAGATGACATTATCAAAACAAGACTAGTAACCGTATCGGTTGTGGTAGGAAACATTAAACAATACAACCTAATTAGAGAATAAAACAAGGAAAGTATGATATAATTTTAAAACTAAAAACCTAGAGGTAGACAAGTGGGTGAATCTGCACCACTGGAAACGATTCAGAGTTATGTGCATTATCAAGGATCAAAATATGTTTATTTACATTTCTATAGATTAAACTAGGTTGTTAGTGGTCGCCACAATAGTAAGTGTTAATTTGATTCCGGTCGGGCTAGAAGTGTTGAAAGAATAAAAAAATCAGCAATTCGCCTAAATTTGAAAATGTATATTCTCGAATTTTCGCATAGAATACAGACTGTTTTGGGATAAATTATCTATACAAGGCTAGTTTTGGTATCATTAACACTGACGTTTTAAGATAATACTAAATGGAGTATATTAGGTACACCCGAACACTGCCGTACGTTGGCATCACCAACACAGCGTTCCTACCGGACGTGAGTAATCTCTTAGAGACAGAAATTATCGAGCACAAAGATTCGTTAGGCATCATCAACCATAAGGGGCTGGGTTTCACAAGCTTAGAGTTTAACTACTTCCACTAAATGATTATTCTGCTCCGACAGGCATTACACGACCATAAACTGTACGTCTGCATGTCCAGAACATGTGTAATGACATAGATTAGGGTGGTGTGCATCGAATGATTTTTAATAATCCAGAAACCTGAAAACGTACAAATGTCACCGTATGATTAGAAAAGAAATTGTGAGAATCTATCAGTAATATTGAAAAGCTTCAGCACAAACGCGGGAATTGATCGACTTTGATTCAGCAGAATTAATTCAACCCTGGCAATTACCTGTACAACATAGATCTCAATATTTCTGTTGTCATTATAAGAATAGTTGCTTCTTGGTTGATAGTTATATCACCAGTCATTAGGCCAACATCTTTAAAAATCTCAGAGAATTCGCGAAACTTCTGATTGCTCAGGGCCTTGATAGGCGTTGTGTAAATAACGCGCTGATTCTGCTTCAGACTTTTAGCAACTGCGTACCTAAAAAATCATGAATATACTGAACCAAATGACTTACTCAGCAACCACAGTTTTACCAGCAGATGTATGGGCAGATACCATAACAGACTGTTCGTTTTCAATACATAGAATGGCGCGTTGCTGAAATGGATCCAAAGTAAAGGGATAATTCCTTACAGGATTTTCTAGATTCTTCAATTCATTGAGTGCATAACCAGAAGGATAGACAACCTAACTAACAATAGTTTCAGCTGTTAACACTAACCTCATGAATGCAACCGCTACCTGATAAAAGCACGTATGTTTGGAACTTTGGAAACTTTTTGAGACATCGTTTAACTTCAATCGGACCATCAGGAGCTTCTTTACATCTGAAGTAAAAAGAATTACCAATCTTAGTAGAAATCACCTTTTCCCAAAACGTTTAGCTTCGTGAAAAGCAGAAGCAACTTCATCCAGATTGATATCCAGAAATTCCATAGTAGCTGAAAGATAATTCAAAATACAATAGTTATACAAATGACTGCTTATGAAACACAATACGTGACAAAATAGGAACTGAGTTCTGGTGCCACAACCGGTTAGTTTGGTGAGGTTAATAAATTAAGATAACAAAAGTAAGATTTTGGAAGCGTGACTATCAAGATATTTAACCGCAAACTATTGAACATTTGTGACATTATAAGTCATTTTGATTCGGTTGAATCGATTACTTGTCTATCACTTATCATACAAAACCTGATAAAAAAATAACAATGAGCTGCAAAACTCAATGACAATATTGTGAAAAAACATGAGAAAATATTTTGAGACTTCACTAGCAAGCATTAAGATAGCGATCATAATAAGAACAAAACTAAAATGAATATTGTCCTGCGTCGTACCACAATTGAGAACGGAAAACTAAAGCATTGGATTTTATTCTGAACCTCAAATTACTGAACGATATGACCACTTGGACCCTTCCCAAGAAGCCGTGAAGAATCCATGAGTGTTGACCCGACAGAACTATCATTCTTAAAAAATATGACGTCACAAACTGATAATTAATTTGCTTCCACTCAGCCCAACCGTCGGCAAATAATACACAAAAATTGAGTCTACATCAGGCATCTCATTTGATGGGAAATAACGAGAAAACTTTAGTCTATGAGTGATGACTTCGAGATCCTTACATGTGAGACAACTACGAACATAGCTAGTTTCAGGAACTATGGTGAGCGGATTATTTCCTGTAGATGTTAACAAGAATAACTACGTGGAGATATGAAACACTGACTAAAGAACAATTGACAGTATCATATGGGCTACGCTTTACTTTAGATGCTCTGCAAAATAAACGACTCCTCAGAAAACGTTATTCAAAATGATACCCAGCCAGGGTAACTCACTTATCATATACAGATTTATTGTACTTCTAAAAAAAATTTCCGTGAGGCGGGGTTATCCTGTACACGGAAAGTACCCTAACCGTAAGAGTAGCTGAGACAGTGGCACGTGTTTCAAAGACATGTGAACTGGTGCGATGTAAGCTGAAATGTAGACGGCAAGATATTGAATTAGTTGTAGTATATTGCAGTCCAGAATGTGTAGCAGATGATTTTCTCCTAAGTAAACTTAAGTCCTGGGTAAAAGCTTTGTAGTAGGCGACTTTAACGCACCGTATATAGACTGGGTTAACTTAGAAGTAGGGTCATCGGTAACGTCGTTCGAATGCAAACTATTAGAAACATCGATTGGATTAGCTTGATTTTAAAACATTAGAAACCCCACAAGATAGGACTTAAAAAGCTCTTCTACTCTTTTGAATTCAGTCTTCACACACGGTAATACGTTGGTCAAATGACTTTTCTCCCACCACTAGGGAGAAGTGACCATGCAGTCATCTTATTTAAATTCATGGCTGAGATTGCCTACCAAACAGTTACGCCGGCACGTCCTAACATATGGAAGGCAGATATTGGAGGCAATCAACTCCGCAGCATCGGCTGAAAACTGGGAAATTGACTCAAGGGCATTAGTACAAGAGGCATGGACTCTTTTCAGGCAGTTATACAATCGGGTAACTCGACCATACATACCCTGGACAGTTCCAAAGAAGAAGAAGCACGGTGATCCCTGGATAGGCCGGGATATTCGACGTTTACTAAAACAAAAGAAATGTTGGGTTGTTGCCATCCGCCTTGGCACGATGGAACGCTACAGATCGGTAAGAAACAATTGCATAACAAAAATTCGGGGGAGCTCAAAGAAAATATGATATTCAGCTGGCACAATCTGCACTCAAGTAGCCCAAGAGAATATTCTCGTACATAAACTACAGAACAAGGATGCATCATTGGATTCCCAACCTAATTAAAGAAGGAAGTGAATCTGAAATGACAGAGGAAGATCAGGAAAAAGCAGAGGCTATGGCTGACTATTTTGGGGCAGTTTTCACTCAGGAACCTCCCTTAGACAAAGAACCAAACCAAAATAAAGTCAACAAACCAAATGCTAACCTTGGACTTCGATCAAGACGATGTGCTTAGGGCTCTTAGCACCTTAAACATGGAAAAGTCAACAGGACCAGATGAACTACACCCCCAAGTCTTGAGACAGTGCACAGTATATCGCGGCCCCACTGACTGTGACACTCAACATGTCATTTGACCAAGGTTTGTTGCCTATGGACTGGAAGGACACAATCGTCACTCCCATACATAAAACAGGACTAAGACAACTTCCATCGAACTATAGACCTGTAAGCCTCACCAGTGTTGTAGTTAAAATATTGGAAAGAATAGTTAGACGGACCATAATGGCATTTATGGAAACCAACAACTTGCTAAACATAAAACAACATGGTTTTAGAAAGGGTTTATCTTATACAACGAACCTCCTTACAGCAACGGAGTCCTGGATAAAGGCACTAGACAACGGGAACTCAGTGAATGCTGTCTACATAGACATCAGTAAGGCTTTTGACAAGGTGCCAACAAATAGACTACTATTGAAGTTGGAAAACCTTGGTATTGCCGGACCTCTATTAAAATGGATGGAGGATTTCCTAGTAGATCGTAGACAGAAAGTAATAATAAATTACAAGTGCTCCATCTGGAGACCAGTACTTAGTGGGGTACCTCAAGGTTCCGTCTTAGGTCCTTTACTTTTTATAATGTATGTTAATGATCTTCCAAATATAGTACAGTCTCCAATGTTATTATACGCTGACGACGTAAAAATCTGGTGAGTAATAACTGGAGAAACAGACGCACGTGCTCTTCAGGTAGACTTAAATAATATGATTAACTGGTCTAAGGAGTGGCTGGTGCCTATCAACGCGGCAAAGTGTGTCTACATGCACTTTGGGGATTCAAAAGTTAATAGGTACAACATAGGGGAAGGGCCATTACCCGTAGTCCGGTCACATAATGATCTAGGGGTGACAGTGAGTCATGATCTTAAGACGACGGCCCATTGCCGGGAGGTCGCAGCTAAGGGGTTTCGAACCCTCTAGGCTTTAAAACGGACATTAACTAAGTTAGATACTACCATGTTCACCACAGTATACATATCCTTAGTGAGAACTAAGCTAGAGAACTGCTTTCAGTTTGCAAGTCCTCGGATATCCTAGAAAAAGTACAGAGGGCAGATACTCGTGCAATTCCAGAACTCCGGGGTTTTTCATAAAAAGAGCGGCTTGAAAAGCTGGGCCTCTATACTCTGTCCTATCGCAGACTAAGGGGAGATCTAATTTTGATGTACAGAATACTGGGAAATGATTTTGGACCTTACTTATTCTCTTTTTCTTTCCACTAGATCGGGACATCTCAGGGGACATAGCAGGCGAGTAGAAAAGCCAAGAACGAACAAAATACCCGTGGCATACAGGTTTTCACACCGAGTCATCAATACTTGGAACCTGTTGCCCGAAGCAGTGGTGTCCGCACCTTCAATTGACTCTTTCAAGAGAAGACTGGACACTCACAGAAGCATACTAGAAAAGGAATAACATAGGCCGTAGGCCTTCTGTCCTTACTACACAAATCTGAATCGGTGAGGGATAATCATACTGCTCGACTGTCGTGCGGGAATGGATGCTAGACAGGTCAATTGCCTGAATCCAATTGTACTCAAGCACTGGAACGGAAGGATAATACAACCATCCATTTTCACGGAACACGACCGAGAGGATTTATCACAGAAACCACAAAATCTGTCCCAGCTTAAAAACTGTGCGAAATGTATGTACTGTTTGAAAGGCAACTCAGATCAGACTTCAGGTGATTACATCTACTAAGATGTAATTGGCTTACCAACCATATCCGCCTGAAGTGAGAACTTTTGCACAAATTATCAACTATCGCGACCTAATGTTCGCATTTTCAAAAGATGGATTAATCCATTTAAAAGACTGAACAGAGCCCAACTGATAGAGAACTAGAGTAGGCTTTTGACCATTTGTTCGCAGAATGAGGAGCTTGAGTCTCCTAATTGTATTCATTTACGTGAATACTAAATTAGTGTCTGCACACGTCAATACCTAGGAAGGGCAGTTACGTACTTATGTCTTACGTTGTGGAATGAGACCATTTTTTGTAGACGTTTCCTATAGGCAAACCACATGCAGAACGGTGTTTCAGTGCTACATCATAACTATTTGGATAAATCAACAATCCCGAAATTAACTTTGAGTGAAATCTAAAAACACCTAACATTAATGAGCAAATCACGCAGAACTGTAGTGAAATACATCCACACCGGATAGAGCAGGCTGTGCACTTCAAGGTCAGACAGCTGTTTTACCATTGTTGCGTTAACGAAGTCCAACAGCGGTGAAGTCAAACGACCTCTGTAAGACAACATACTTTTCACAGAGAATTTTATTTCAAGCCTTACCCTTCATTTTATTTGCCTTTAATCTTGCAAGCTTGGATTTAGCACAGTAGCACGTTCATAGAAGACATCCATAGATAGACAAAGATAGTTGTGTGAAAATGATTGTAATAAATCTAGTTTACGAGTAACCTTTGTCAATATTTATGATCTTCATGATTTCATCTAATGTGTGCAAACACTGTATTGACTAAATAATCTTGTTTAAATTTACTTCCGTTTGTAGAGATAGAGAACACGAACTTATTTTGTAACTGGTTTTTGTTATCAATCCTTTTTTAATTATTTCTCATAATTTGTACAATTGCCATTATTGGCTGCAAAGGTGCCATTGGCGATCCTGCTGTAACTTTCTTTTACTTTCTCCATGAAAAATGAACTTTACTTTTCAATTGATAGGATTTTTTCCGGTTTTATTTCATCTAACTGAACTTCTTTTCCGATAATAATAATAATAATAGTCATTATTATTACCTCACTCATGTACTAATTTATGTTCATTGTTCTTTTATTATACGCACGTGACATTATCTCTTCACAACGTCATTGTAATTGTGTGGCGCATATGTATTTGATGCCCTCTTGTACCAACGTTGTGTTCAAATAAATTAACAAATAGTATGAATCTAAGTGGGTGAAGCCTATTTGAAGCCTATGTAATCTATAAAACTATGATCCTGTCTGTAAACTGTCAAGCCTCATGTAACATATTGTTATTTGAAGATAAATCATTACTATTACTGTCAAAATATCACGGACCAAGTATTTTTCTCGCTTTGTATATGCATTATATTTCCGATTATCTTACACTGAATGTTGAAAGCCTTGTTTGTTGGAAATGATGTCTTTCAGCTCTAACTGTTCTGCTCCGCGATCTGAGTGAAATCCTAATAAAACCATCGACCCGAAGACTTTCAAGTAGAAAATGAGGTATAAATGCCAGCATTAAAGACCTTGAGATCGTTGCTTCTTCTGTATAGATTCATGTCATTAAAAAAACGGAGACAGGTGTGAAAGTAAATTTGTTCTCTGTGAAACTACTGATGTTGAGGACTTATGGCTCACATTCACTCTCTTTACCTTAGTACTAAACATCCTATTATCTATGTGTTTTGGAGCTAGGATAAGTAAAACCCATCTTTGCAACCCTCTCTATGAGAAACGCGTGCACTACCATGTTCGAGTCGTTCGTTAAGTTGAAGAACATTGCATGAAACGGTGTCTTTGATCTTAGCAAATCGTCCGACTGTCGCACTCTATGAGTAGATTGGCTGCACATGACCTGCCTTTCCTAAACCTGTGCTGGCCTATATGAAGAATATTATCCCTATCCATGTATTCCCCCATTTGTTCATTGACTAGTCCTTCCATTATCTTCGATAGTATTGAAATTATTCTGACAGGCACGGATCTTTTCTGTCTTTTCTCTTAAGATTCGAGAGAAAGTGCCCTGTTTCTATTCTGTTGGCAGTTGATGCGACTCTTATAAGTTCCTGAACAGATCACCTACTGGTGTACTGATGGGCTTCGAGCACTGTCCCAGGATTATAGGTCGGATTTTGTCACATCCCAGTGACTTACCTGGGCACAAGGATATAGGTTTTACTGATAATAAAACGGCAGTTGGTCGTAAACTTCGTAGAACCCAGAGTTGAAAAGTTTAAAGTGCATGCATGTTCCTAGAGTAGTTGGTCAATGAATTAGGGGTGAAAGATCTCTGCTAACTATGAATTAGTAAGACGATTGCTATTTGATCATTTAATAGTGAAGGTCGGATGGTTTGTAGGCTTCCTTTTTGTCATGCTTCTGCAGAGATATTGAGGGTTAGTTTGGATTTTAGTTACTGGCTTGGCCTGAAAACATCTCCCAGTTTTGTGGACGTTGACGTTGCACCCATCTCTCAATTCCAAGTAGGAGTTACTGTCGGAGTCCTTCGGAAGAACATTCCGCGTATGTTGTGCTCTCTGTTTGGTCTACGGCAAGCGTTCGGTGTTCCATTTAACCCAGAACCTTCGTTTTCCGAATTTACTACGTGTGGTATGTTTTGTTGGATAGCGTCCTTTATAATGTCCTTCACTATATCCCGATGGGCATCGACTGTTGACCTCCACCACTCTCGTAGACATTGAGCCCGTTGAAGGTAGTCGTTCATGGTTGGGTAGTTTCCCTCGGTGTAGCTAAGGTAAGGAACATTCTTGTCCATTTGGGGCACCTTGTTTGTCACCGCACTTAACATGACAGTGAGGATGGAGTGCTGCAGTCTCCAGCTAGTAGTATTCTGTCAAACCTCAGCTATGGTAGCTCTAGTGTTGCCTATACTATCTTATCGTTGATGGCGTCGGAATCCCTGGGAGGGTCTAGAAAGGGTAACGCGGGGACACTTAGGATAGACTACGTGTTTCGCATACCCATGCATGGTCACTGTCTATTCTCGATATCCCCATATGGAATACATTATACCATCCTCAATCCGTAAGTGTTTTTCGAAAGCTATTACTAATATCCGCGGACATTCATAATAGGATGAGTTAGTATAAACAACGATATGACCGTGCTGAACGTTTTCTTGGGAAGTCATTGTACTAATTTATTTCTATAACAGTCTGACGTGTAAGGTGATGCAGAATAAAAAATTTTTGATAATAAGATTTAGAATTTGGGAAACGGCTTTTAGTTTCCCAGTTAGGAAAACGAAGATAAAGATGTAGTCTTTTTAAAAAGGATTGCTTGTGTAAATATTGAGTCTTACATGTATAAATGTTCAGCCATGACACTGAAGCTGTCCAAAATGCGCCATCTTGAGGTTAAAATCAGATGTTCTACGTAAAACCAACGCATTTTCACATAGCATTATGTAGTCATGATGAAGTCGTTAGATATCTTATGTAAAAGAAAGGTTTGAGAGTGGTGTTTTCGACACATTATATAAGACTGGTCTTTACGAAAATACTTGATAAAAGTATTGCAGTATCATAAACATTGTATATGATCTAGAGACACAAGATCAGTCGCTTTAATTATTATCCGAACTCACGTTATTCAGTAAGTTTGAAGTAAACAGTCAGTTGTGGCTAATAGTTCATCGTGCTTACTTGATATAAGGGTAATGTGGTACAATGTAATAATAAAAAACTCAATGAAAGTTTCGACTCACTGCATTTCCTATCATTTTTTCATATTTTTCAGCAGTCCCAGGAAAGAAAAAAGGAAAGTATAGTTATGTGTCGAAATATGAGTATAGGACGCAAAACATGCGCTAAGAAAAAAACTGGTATACACGCGTACAGATAATATGCAATAGTGAGAAAAATGATTTCACAAAATTTTATTGAAAAATTAAAACGCGCATATGTTAACACCTTGGGAGAGATAACAATTTGTTTTGACGCAACAATAAAAAGAATCCAGACAAAACAAAAAGTGTCCCAGTATCCTGCTTGTGAGTGGTGGACGATCGTTCACGATTGTGTGGTTACTAGTATTGTAGTCCAGATTCGAACTGGCGTCCACGGTCTGTAGTGTTATTTGTAGGGCAGCCGAAGCTTCCTATCCACCGTTTGACGAAAGCGCGGGCCACTGTCTCAGCACCAATGTCTTTGATAGGTGCTATTTTAGTGAAGGATAACACAGGTGAAGACAACCGAATTATATTTAGCACGAAACTACGGAGTTACTTGGTAAAATAGAAGTACCATACTATAATACTTAATTTACAAAATGTTCAATAATTGTCTCGGACTTCTTTCTTGCATTTCAATACTAACTGCTTTCTATTCCCGTTCTTCCTTTCTTGATCTTCTCAATCTTCTGCTGCTATACATTACATTCCTGATTCGCGTTACATACTCCTCATGTTAGTATAAGAAGCACGCATCGCACTATTTCTGGCCACCATGTGAAACGATCTACACAAGAGATAAGAGTGTCCGTTTAAATCTAGCACGGGTCCTACCAAATCCGAATGAAACGAACGTCGGTAGTTTGAAAGAGCCTAAGTGACATTTGTTGTTTTGAATCACCTGAGATTTCCGGCAGTTCACAATAGGGCATGCCCACTCCCACACGTCTTTATTGATACCAGGCCAAACAATCGTTCTGCTGTGAGCTTGGTGGTTGCTCAAACACCTAAATGAGGACGTTTGTGCAATTTACTGAAAACGTTGTGTTGATAATGTTTTGGTAAGGCCGGAAGATTACTGTCTGTAGATGTGTCATATAGTAGTTTCCCTACCTGTTCCCATCTTTTCGTTCCGTAGTTTCATGGTCGTCAAAGATAACTCGTGCTGAAGACCATTGTCTTCTTATTGCAGCTGAGTGACTTTAAGAAGGTCGATTCCTTGGAAACTGTTCAAGGAAGTTATACGCGACGAGGCGTCTGCAATTATATTGACTGCCTCAAAAATGTATTGTATATGTGTAGCAAATCGAGAACTGTTTTTCTGCTGAGTTGTACTGTAAGTGGTCTCACGAGAGACGCGCGACGCTGTATGAACGGCCGATAAAACATTATCAATCACCTGAATACGCGACTGTGGCCGGTTCTGGATAATTTAGAATGGTATCTACTTTATTTGCTAGAGTGCGAGTACCACAGACGTTAATGTTATGCTTAATATGATCTTGGAATTCGACCGCGATTTTTTATCCCTTGGTGCCTACAATCATGTCGTGTTTTGGAATCACTGAAAAACAAAGGTCAGGTTTTCTGTTTGGACATGCTACCACGAAATCATCACCAGCCATCAACTCGTCAAGCATCGGTTGAACCTATGAACCTGTATAATGTATAGTTACAATCCTACGTAACCTTCAAATAGAAAATGAGACTCCACTAGGAGATAACTAAGTATGTTCGTCTGCTGACCCCTATTTGATTGGGTAAACGAGCA